AGACAAGGCTTTCAGATGTTATTAATGAATTGTAAGTTGGGCTTTGCACTTTTTAAAGGCAGAATAGAGTCATTTTTTAAGGTGTTCATTACTCTCTCTGCTTCTCCATTAATCATTCTGCACTTGATCACTGTCGTTCTTAAACCCAGCCTTTGTCTCTCATTCATACTTTCTTTAATTTCACAGTGCTTTATCCCTTCTGTTCTTCGCTCTCTCCCTGCGAGTGGTTAGCTGTGTGCCCTGACTGTGCCTGGGCCCATGAGGCAGGGGGCTACACACAGATGGCAGCACAGTTGTAAAGCCGGGGGTGTAAAATGAGGAGGTTATCTGGCGTGGCAGCGGGTAAGAAGGTGGTCCATTCAAGGGCACATTGTCAGTTGACATGGTGGAAGGAGCAGAGCAGCGTTTAGCCAGGAACAGAGGCACTGTGGGGCTCGCAGAGATGATGAGAGTCAAGGACCATTCTGACGTTATTTATAGCTGTGATGAGAACAGACACACACACACACACACACACACACACACACACACACACACACACACACACACACACACACACACACACACACACACACACACACACACACACACACACACACACACACACACACACACACACACACACACACACACTGCAGCAAGGTACAGTATAGTATACACCTTGCTAGCAGTGGTGTTAGGCTGCACACTGCAAATGCTAACCTGGCAACATGCTCACAATGCTAACATGCTAAGGTTAAGTAGGGATACTGTTTAACATTAACATTTAAGCATATATTAGCATGCTAACATGTGCTATTTCGCCCTAAATATACTGCAGTGGAGGCTTGTTGGAATATTATTAATGATGCAGGAAGTTAGTCATGAACCAAACTGTTGTACGAAATACAATGTTGACTTGATGAGGCAGCAAAAGGAAAAGGAAAATGATAACAAAAGTGCAGATATTATTATTATTAACACATAGTTAATGTTAAACGCTACTGTGAAAGACAGTGCAACAGACTGGACTTGTTCTAATCGGTAAATACTTGTGTATTTTATGTTGTAGCCTACTAAAAGTAGTAAAATAGTATTTCCCTGACTCACTTTACAACCCTCCAAGGCCTTTTCATCGTTTCATTTCCAGAGTGCTGATTGTGTTTAAGAGGTTTTAACACCTGTTTGCAAAATAACATTACATTTGGATTTAGGTTAAAGATGATTTTTGTAATGCAGTCTAATAGTGCAAACATTAATAACATAATTTGTGTCAAAGTGAAAGGCCACTCATTAGACCCATCTGTCAGGTCATTCTGCATAGCAAGGCTTTCCTCATACAACCTCAGTGCTGAAACTATGCCATTAGTACTATCCTAATCCTCAGTGTGAATGTCTTTCATTGCAAAATCTGTAAATATAATTTGCACGTATTCAGAGTTGTTTTCATTGCTTACTCACATACATTGCCTTTGTGATTGTCAGTGTTACAACAGAGCAGGAACATTGGGAGTTTGGCACTTTGACAAAGCATTCCTTGTATTAACGACCGTTGACTTTGAGAAACAGACTGTGTAAAAGAGCTATAGTTGGTTACTGGTTATTAGTGATTTGTAGATTACAGTGTTGAAGCCTTACATGTTGGCCGTGGCCATCTTCTTTTCATGTTTCCCCTGCTTAATTGCCTACCTTATTCAGAATGGGATCACCATTTACAAAACAAACATGCTGTATTCAGGAAGACATTAAACTAGGGATTAAGACCAATATTGTTTACTCATTAGGATCATTTTAACAGAGGTAATAAATAAATGTACATTTCTCATAGACGTAGACAATGTTTACGAAGGAGAAAGGCACGTTTGAGCTCTTTCACATGGGCTTTACATTTCTGATAGTTGTGCATGCTATTAGACTTTCTTCATTTATATTCCTGTTCATTCGCTCACTATAGGCACTTGAGAGGGGATGTTCACATGTGGGGTGAGATCCTAGGCTCCTGAATGTGCTGACAAGCTGGTTTAGAGGGGTGTGGTCCTTGGTAGCACACTAAAACACTCTGATGTAGTTTCCTCGCCAAGTCAAATTATCATATTGCCTTTATGTATTTACTTTGCTTCATTCCAGTCCTAAATCATTTTGGAGTTCACACTGTTCTAATGCAGCATGGATTGTAGGATTCACATGGTATATATTTACTTGCAATCCTGAGGTGGTATTTGAATTATATTACGTGTTCTGTTGAGAATTTAATCTTTTAACTTGTGTAAATCCGTGACGCAACCATCTCATTGGAATTACAGTATGTGCAGATTTATTGGAGAGGACCATGTGCAAGCGGCAAATGGTTATTGGGCTTCTGCATCAGCATGACACGTGGATTTAATAAATCCTATTTGCATTGCCATATTAATTAGAACCGCCACATGGTGCATGTAGTTCATTCATGCTTATCTGACACACATTTCGACATATCCTCATCTGTTGGATCAAATACATCTCCATGTGCGTGCACGTGTTTTCACCTAATTCTTGTGCTCCTGTCATTTTCTCTTAAAAACCACCCCTTCTATGAAAAATGTAGAGTTACTTAGATATGCATTATAAATAGCTGCTCCGTGATTGGACGAGCCCAGATTCTCCTGCAAGCTCTTCCGTATAGCAACAGCCCCCTCCCATCCCTCCTTCTCGCCGCTTCTCCCTGGAATCCCCTCTTTCTTGCCCCCCCCCATCCATCTCCTTCCTTCTCCCTTTCAAAAAAACGCAGACAGATCTCATTCTCCATGTGGCTTCACCCCCTACCCACAATGCACTGCTGCCACTGGCTTTAGATGTGGCAGGCGGTGTCTGTTTGGGGGCTCCTCTTCTCTCCCCTCTCCTCCTCCTCCTCCTCTCCTCTAAGCTACAGACCGACTCTCGCTCCTCCCGCTGGCTCCCACTGCTGCGGCAGCATCTGGATGTGGATGTGGTCGCCATGGCAACAGCAGCGGGCCTGACCCCACCTCCTCTCCCCTTCTCTTCTCTCTCCCTACACACACACACACTTTTTCCCTCTCATACAGACACAACGCCTTTACCCCTCCTGCTCCCCCTCTCCCCCTCTCCTTCTCTTAAGCTGTTCTCTCTCTCTCTCTCTCTCTCTCTCTCTCTCTCTCTCTCTCTCTCTCTCTCTCTCTCTCTCTCTCTCTCTCTCTCTCTGTGCGACTGGGTGCGTTTCCTTGGAGCTTGACCTGATTCTGCGTGCGCCGCCGCGTCTGCCACGCTGCTTTTGTGACAGCAGTGATGATAACACAGAGAGAGGGGGTGTGCGGGGTCGACTGACCTGTTTCAAGTAACCTTCAGGGTCAAATGTCAAGCTGGAAATGACTTCCTGTCATCTCATCTTTCCTCCTTCACTTACTCCCTTTACTCTGGCTGTGTATCCGTCCCCATTTCCTCTTCCCACTGCCTTTTCTTTCTTATTTCCCCCCCATCTCCTCTCCCTCTTTTTTCTTGGACCACCTGTCCTTGTTTTTCATTTCCTTTTCCTTCAACCTTTCCTTTTCTCCCATGTTTCTTCTCTCCTTTCCTCTCCTACATTGTGTCTCCATCCTCGTTCTACTCCCTACCGCTTTGCTTCAGGGCAATAGCAAGGAGCTGCAAGACAAGGCGTGAAAAGGAGTCAGCTGTATCCTCCCTCCTCCATCATTGTACTCAATATCACACCCGATCCCCTCTGCACCCCCCTCCCTCCACCCCCCAAACCTCCCCCATTACAAATCCTTGCCTCCTCCTCAGCTGAATATTTGAACAAAGCTATCAGCCTCCTGAAGGCATGTATGGCTGCATTTTTGTCACAATGACGCATGTAGCTCTTAAATACATGGAATATATTCTACACTTCCTGTTTCTTGGCTCTCTTGGTGATTGCAGCCCAGCAGCAATGTTCACACATGGATCTGTAGGCCAACACTTGGCCTGTTATGAGTCATAGCCATCGTTGAATGAAATACACATTTCCTTGAGAGAGAAAGGGGCTCTCTGTGCAAGGATAGCAGCACAGTAGGTGGTATCGCTGCATACCGGTACTTTCATTAGTATTCATCACTTTTATCAGTTTGTAAATGAAACTGTTGATTCTTCCATATATTTATCTTCGTCTTAGTTATTAAGACTTTTTGTTCTTGTTTTATTTGTATCACTTTCATTGTGAGCTCATTTTCTGATGTTATGGTATGTTCGGATACTGCCTGTGCTTTTAAGTTGTTGTGCGTAAAAGAACTACTTGCATGTATGACATTATCAAAACAGCAGATCTTACACACCCATATCACAATGGCCTTTGTGTAATGCATTTGATTTCAAAGTGAACAGCAATCCTTATTCTGCCTTTTTCTTGCCATTATAATCCATATTGTAGAGATATTTACACTGCCTGAGGACACTGATCACTTCGGAGACATGCATGCTGTGATAGCTAGGGAAAATGTCATATATATGTAGCAGAGGAGCGGGGTGTTAGATACAGAAATGGGTTGAAACAGTGAAAACAATCAGCCGTGTTTAACTGGCCGATTCTAATGAGGTTTCTGGGAAAGCAGAGAGGCTGGCACACCTGTTGGTCTCCGGGGAAATGCATTTTTTGGAGCTTTATGAGGCTGTCTGTGTCTGTGCACTCTTATCTTTCCAAATTTAGACTGTGAGAGATATTTATTTTGATGCGTGACGTATGGCTTGGAGGGAGGGAATTCGCAGGGAAGTAACAGCATTGAAGGAGTGTGCCTCGATCAAATTAGTCTTTCTAATTCAATCTGTTCACAGCACTTGGAGTCCATCATGGTTTATTCAGTAAGGTGAGCATACTAATTGTGCTCTGGTTTTTCTCCCTCTTTTTCTCTCTCCCTGCTCTCACTTTTTTTCCCGTTCCTCCTTGTATCCCCACCACCATACTCTCTCTCCCTTTCACCCCCTCTACAAACCCACACCCATTTTTCCTTACCCCTGTATTCCTCCTGCTTCAACTCTTCCAACTGTCCCTGTAGTAGAGTTGGTGGACCAGCAGAGGGTGCTGAGGGGCGGCTGTCTGGTGAGCGGGGTCCACACTCCACCCATCCGCCGTAACAGCAAGCTGGCCACCCTGGGGCGCATCTTCAAGCCCTGGAAGTGGAGGAAAAAGAAAAATGAGAAGCTCAAGCAAAGTTCCACAGGTATGGTGCTGGATGGGAAATGGTTGTAAACAGAGAACTAAATAAGTGGGCTGAAGATCGGAAGGTCGTGAGTTCAAATCCCGCCTGGAACACCACCACTAGTGTGCCCTTGAGTAAGGCACTTAGCCCTCAGTTACTCCAGGGAGAATGTCCCTGTAATTGGTCATTGTAAGTCGCTTTGGATAAAAGCGTTAGCTAAATGTAATGTAATGTAAATAGGATCACACCATCATGACACAATTACACCACGTCCCCTTCTTTGCTTGCTTTTAAAAGCAGCCTGAGCCGGTATCTACAGTTTGTCCATCATTATATTGCTGATCACATGGCTAAATGCGAGATGAAGTGTGCTTTTTAATCAAGATGATATACTGTAATTGGTGAGTGTCATTTAAGGAAATTGTGACATGTGGTCACTTCATCCCCCATTTGTTTTTCTAATAGAAAACATGTATTTATTTCCATTCATATAATAACTATTTATTGAAAGTGTATTTCCACTTCTATCGCATCGTTTATTGTAAATTTGAAAGGCAATACTCACATGAAGGCATAAGTTGCGTTCAATATGCTTCATTGTAACTGCCTGCCTTATGAAAACAGAGAACATAGGGGGAAAGCAACAGGAGGAACAGCATCACTACTAGAAATGACATTCTATGAATGGAGATAACTCATATGAATGTCACACAGTTTGATGTATCCACAACACAGACATCTTGACATACTTCTCCCCTCCTTTCCTCCTACAGATGTAGCATTATCAAGCAATCTTCTATGCCACGACCCCTGCTCCCCCCCCCAGGGCTGCTGCTCAGACGGTGCAGTCCGGCTTGGAGGGTTCGGGGGGTCTTTGACCTCAAACCTCACAGTCAGCAGTGTGGAATACCTCTGTCCTGAGGAGGAGCTTCCCCCACCAGGTAGGACAGTCGATCACTGTGGAGTCACCTCATCAATGCACATCTTAAAGGAGAGCAGCAAGAGCAACAGATGAGGGGGAGATGTAAATTTGTAAAAATGGATTGGTGTCTTTACTCAGAAAAAGTATATTAAGAGGTTTTTACTGTTTTCTTCCAACAACAAGCCTTTATTGTTATAATGCAATTTATTATGTATGCATCACAAGTAAAGGTTTGGTATTTTTGTAATTGTTTAACTGCTTATGATATCAGCAAAGCTATTGCTAGATGAAACTGAAAGTAGTGTGTGTTGATTCTCTATACATGTACCTCTAGAGGGCAGCAAAGTCAGTTCAATAACCTTCCTGGCCTCCACTCCCATCTGCTATAAGAGGTCTCCAGTATGCATGTTTATAAAAGCAGTACATATTAGAATTGAACATTGTAGAAAAATGTCATCAATAGGACCAACGCAGCTTGGCAAGACTCTACAGAAAAAACAATTTAACCTCAATGTTGATTTCCTCTTTTCCTTCATTTCTGTTCTACAGCAGTCGCCCCTCCTCAGGACTGTGAACAGGAGGAGGACAATGTACTACTACCGGATGAGGAGGGGGGCGAGGAGCTGCACCCTGCCGGGGATTTACCTGAGGGGCTGCAGGACGTGGGCGAGCAGACGGAAGAAAGGACAGAGGAAGAGACTCCTACAGGAACGTCCCCACCACAAGTACCTCCAAAACCATTTCACCAGCTGAGTCCAGGCGATGGTGAGCGCAACCTGAATGTAAAAAAACTCCATTACAAGTAAATGTACTGCATTCAGAATACTACTTTAGGACAGAAGTCATTTTAGGGAAGTATACAGAAGGCTTCAGACGTACTCCTGTGACTGGTGGATTATAACACATTATTGAAACTGATACATCAATGTGTACGCAGCATATGACTGTTGCTGTGAATTGAAACCCTTACAGTTTGGTAGATAGGTACATCTGAAAGGTCTAGATGATTACGGGTATAAAATAATAAAGTTCTACTTCACAAATGTTTATTTTACCTTTGAAAGATTAGAGGAGAAGTGTCTCTTTGGTGAACACACAACTCATTACCATCTGAAACTTAACAAGGAGTAAGACACTGTTCAAGAGATCACAAATCAAAAAGGTTACTGGTGAATTCAAATGTATCTATAAATAAACATGACATGCTTTGTCAATGGTATGACATGGTATACACTTCCTGTCACTTAAGTGAGCGTGGTCTAAAGTACTTATGTCTTGTTTTGCTAACATTCTATATTTACCCAGGTAACAAACATATTTAGTATTGTGAAAATGAAGGAACTAAGGTGTTCACAGACATTAGTTAATGTTTGCTTTACATTTTCATACAGTTACACTCTGTTGCCACATCTCACAAAAGTGTGTTGTTCAGACAGATAAATTGGTCTCAAACAAAGTTAATTTCCCCCCTATTTGTCTGTCTGGGAAATGTATTTTTTTAGAGAAAAAGATTGTGAATAATGAGCTCAATATTTGCTAGGTGACTATGGAGCTATACAAAATCTGAACAATCTTCTAGAAGAATTATGTCTATCCCTGCAGGAAGTGTTCCAGAGGCTTAGAGCATTATATCTGCTGTGGTGGGTCAGGGTGACTCGACACATTTACTGTGTCGAGTACTTTTGGTACAGATACGTTGTTTGAAAGCCAAAGTTGAAGTAACTCAGGTTCATCTAGACTCCTCTGCCCATACCGACTAGGTCAAGACAAACTTTTAGACATTAAATAAGGAACATACATGCTGTAGATACAGTGCAGAGGACAGGTTGGCAAAGCCGTTAGTGCTCTAATTTCTTCAAACTCCAGATGTGTAGTCAAGTGTACTGAGAAGTTTATATTCCCATTAAAGACCCCCATCACCCCAGCCACAAACTGTTCTATCTGCTGCCGTCTGGCAGGCGGTACCGCAGCATCAGGACTAAAACCACCAGATTCAGGGACAGTTTCATCCCACAGGCCATAAGACTATTAAACACCTGAACGTTTGAAACAACATCCATAACATTCATCTGTTTGCAACTCATATATATCAATATTCCAATTACTGTATATAGACTATTCTGCACAGTTTCTATCATATTCTGTTTCTATTATATTCTATTTTATTTTATTTACTTGCACTATTATCTGTTTTATTGTGTTGCACTGTCGGAGGAGCCTGTGACCTAAGATTTTCATTGTCATAACTACACTGTAGCTATGCACACATGACAACAAAAGCCTTGAAACCCTGAAACCTTGAAGTATACATGTAAATGTGCTTCCCAAAGCTCAGTTCAGTATGAGTGAGATCCACTTCAGCTCCCATGAGCCTGAAGATATGAGGTTATGAGGAAATGGAAGAATTGTTGTTAACTAACCTCCGTATTTCTGCTCCCCCTCCCTTTCAGATTCAGGCCCTGCGTCGCTCCCCACCCACCTGCCCAACTCCTACCTCCCCAAGGAGCCTCCGCCCAGGGCCACAGAGAGCATGGTCTCAATGACCCTGCCGCTACGAGGCCACCTAGCCAACAGCTCAGGGTCGCCACATATAGGCAATATGATGCATCCTCCCATGCCTCCTAGCTGCATTATGGAGGAGCTGCAGAGAGCCTTTGCTTCCAAGAACAGACAGGAGAGGTGAGTCCTCAGGCTGACCAATAACATCTGATCATGTTATCGACTTCTCTCAGTCACTGGGACTGGGAAGAACACATGTTGGTTTGTGTCTGGTGTGCTGGCTGTGGTGACTATAATGTACTTTGCTGACAATTCTTACATTCCTGAAAATACAACCATGTTTACATTTCCCCCAATGAATTCAAGAAAGAGTCTACCCCCCAAAACCCACACGTTCCACTAACAGTAACACATTTTTTTCTTTGGTGAAAAGTCTTGAATGAATTCAATTAAATGGAGGGTTTAACCACTGCACAACTATATCACTACAACATATTACAAACTCCCACACAACCCGTGCAATATAATCAGGAGTGAGACTATTTATGTGTATTCTTTTCTTTAAAGTTTGTTGTTGTTGAACACATCTCTTTTTTTGGATTCTTCATTAACCAAGGCATGTGAGAAAAACAAAGTTTTCTACAAGAATTCCAGGTGACACAGGGTGAGCAGTTTGGTGGTGGAGTATTCCTTTAAATATTGCTTTGTAGGGTGGCACCATTAAAATATTAAGACGTTTGCTCCCCCTGTCCTCCACACTAATCCGACATGTACCCTCCTCTGTGCCCCCTCAGTGTCCATGAAGGGTGTGAGCAGGCCTCACCCCCCAGGCTGTGGTGCTCAGACGGACGGCTCTCTCGCTCCTGCAGCTCTGAGAACCAGCGCACTTTAACCTTCGGGGGCTGTGTGGGAGGAGGAAGAGGGTCCGACTGGCCCAAGAAGGAGGCGGAGGAGAATAAGGAGAACATGCGGCTGGACCAGTGCTTCTCCAACACCTCAGGCCTCCCCAACGACCTGGAAGAATGGAATGACTCCGTAATCTCTGGTGGGTTAAAGAGCTTAAAGGTTTACAATGCAGTCTGAAGCATTTCCACATTCACACTTTCTTTTGTTTTGGTTATGTAGTTTACATATTGGATTTTAAATTAAACAATGGCTGTGAGGCTAAAGTGTTGACAATCGCTTACATTTGAATGTGCTCACATCGATACTGGGAGATCAGTTTAGGAAATGTAGCTCCGTCATCGTCCTACAGCTCTCCTTTCCTGAATACTACCTGTACCCTGGTTTGCTGTCGCAGCAGTTTGGGAAATGTAGTTTAAACATTTTTTTTCTGCTATTCCACAATGTAAAGCTGGACCAATTAATGTTTTTCAATAACTATAGGAGAAATAACTAATATAAAAGGGTCTGCTCATAGTTAAAAACCCAGAGATATTAAGTGTATTATGTATTATGTTTTTCAACTTTCTATTTTGTTCAATCAAATGAATTAAATAGGCTTTGAAACTATATTTTTGAACAACTGTGTTCGACCCAAAGCTTCTTACTATTCAATTTGATATAGTGCTCAAATATACCGATAGTAATTTGTAATTTAATATTTGAATGGGGCAGAAGCCTGGTTTGCACGGTTGGTAATCCAGATCTAGCAGTTATGAAAGGGGCTCAGTTCAAACAGCCTGATAGATATGAATTGATGAGATGTCAGAAGTACCTTTAAAGTTGTCACTTTAGTTCGTCATTTTAAATCAAATGTGCTGCAATACAGAGCAAATTGAACAGATTTTCCATAAATGTAATATATTAAACTGGAAACAGACACTAGGATTGTTAGTAGAGCATAAAAAGGGTTTAATAAGTAAATGTTTTCTGTGTATTCATCTTTGTTTGTGTGGTTCAGGCACACTTCCTCGCAGGCTAAGGAAGGAGTTGCTGGCTGTCAAACTACGAAACAGGCCCAGCAAGCAGGAGTTGGAAGACAGGAACATCTTCCCAGCCAGGAGCGACCAGGAGCGCCAGGAAATTCGCCAGCAGATTGAGATGAAACTAGCCAAGTAAGAAATTCAACTTTTCCTACGTTGCCATCTGAGTATAAGTGTTGTAAATATTAAACTTGACAAATATATCAGTCTTCGTCCTCTCCTAAATAATATCTATCTGCAGTTAGGCAGTGTAACGATGCAATCCCATGACAGATGTAGGCAATGCTTTGCAGGGTAACCTGTATGCTTAATTGCGTTTATATATCAACCACCAGTAGGCGGAGGAGAGATAGAATATCTGTTCTAAAGGGATTATGTGATTGTTTTGCCCAGACTTGATTTATTTTGTGTAATCTACTGCTGCTGCTCTGAGGTCTGTTTGAGTGTAACGCTCTGGCTGAATCTTCATATTGGGAAGCTTCTCTATTATATTCCAGAAAAACACTCAACCACTAAAACTGACAAGAATCCCAATGGGGGGAAATTATATATCTTGTCAAACTAGTAGGCGGCCAGTTGGAGTAAAGTCCTTTGGCGCAAGGAATACACATGTGCAGAGTCAATTTCTGGATCAAAAGCATCTGCTTCTAGGAAATCCTTCTGCAAGACGCACCGCAGATGTTTGTTTGTACCCGCCAGGATATTAATAGAACATGCTTTTGTAACACAACTGCAGAACTTAATGGGAAAACAGACATCAGAAGTCTCGTGAGTGAATGTATCACAAGACCTAAGTGTTTTTAACTCCGGCATATCAAACAGGGGCCAACCACAGCGTTACATAACCTGCTGTGCAAAAACTCGCAAACAGGCACAAATACCACCCACACTTTCTAGAGAACGAGATGTATCATCTGTCTGTGAGACAACCACGAATACTGCTTCACAGATCTATTCTTGGATTCACTGGAAGAACATTTTTGGCTTATTTGCGAATTGTATAAGTGTTCACAACAAACTGCTTATATAGAGAATGAGGATGGAGCACAACGCGCATAATAGACAGCAGGGTCTATGTTTTGAAGACAGAGGCTCCACTTGTGGCACAGCAGTGAGAGAAGCGGCTGGTTACATAAGGTCGTGTTTCTACAGAGCAGCGGGTTCACTTGATCATGAACCCATTTTCTTTATTTATAGCCGTTTTTGATTTTAGAATAATACAGAAAAAATAATGATCTTAGGAGAACCAAAATGGGCTCTAGAGGCAGTTTCATTTTTGTGTTTCATCCTGACGTTGAGAGAAAATCCTTTGCTCCATGAATTCAGAGGCTGTGTTAAATGTAATGTAAAAGGCTTCTGGCGTTGTTGTTATCTGTGAAGCACTAGCGCTCTTAACAACTTACATTTAAATATGATTTAAAACAGTGTCAGAAATATGCAAGAGAATGCCTTTTTATCCTACTGTACAGTATATGCATACGTTAAAAGCATACTGCACCACTTTGGGAGGAAATCCTGGCTAAAAATAGCTCCAAATGGTACGGAGGAGGGCAAATCTAATTTCCCCTGGGCATTCATACTGAAAGACAAAACAATCCATCACACCCTCCTCTGGATTTGCTCCAGGCAACTCCCACAATATATTCTGCCGCCCTTTTTCGCATGAAGACCTACTGTTGCATTTCTTGCCGATCAAGCAAAAACTGCATCAGGTATTATGGCAGATAATGACACCTTGTCTGTCCATTGTGTCGGTGACAGATGACCTTTCTATCTTTAGAGACTCCCGGCCAGGCGATTGTGCTGCAGCCGCACTCTGCTGTTTCTATTCTTAGCTCCTGACTCTGTTCAATAATGCATCTCCCCATGCTCGCCTTTCTCTCCACAATGTGTTGTCAGGGGCTTATACCAGCAGATATAGCGGGGGTGGTGGAGCCTGGGGGGGGGGGGGCTGCTACTGTACTTAAAGGAAGAAAAACTGTAAATGGCCATTTGTATCTCCTAGCAGTCGGTAGATGAAATAAAAGGACAGACTGAGAGCCTCTGCCACCCACTTGTTTCTTTTCTATTCCTTTGTTTGGATTTGTCATCCCTCCCGTGGAGGACAGAGTTAGATTTTCTTTTGTTACTAATTGTTTTGTTTTCCTGAGTGGGAAATGGGAACCCTCATGCCAACAGGCGTTTATGCGTCATCATGGGGGATACCTTTCAAAATCTTATTATGAAATATCCTAAACCCAAATGTGGAAAGCAGTAGGTTCTGATGATCTCATTATCAATACATAAACCATCTTCTGTCACCCAAGAGCAGAAGAGTGATAAGGTTTTTGATTATTGTGTCTGACAAAGGACATGTGACTGTGACCAAAATAGTGTTTTGTATTCGCAGCGATCTCTGATTTATTCAGCTCCGCGCCATAGAGATGGTGTGATGCTATAAATAGCTGGAGACTCTCTGTAAAGCACATACAGCTCTGTGTGCAGTCCTGAACTCCCCATTAGTCTGTTGCTAGGGAAAAGCGAGAATCTCTGCGAGGAGATGCTATTGTCTCAAGGATACCAAGTGTTGTTGCTTAGCAACTCCGCGGCCAGGTCAATAATACAGTGGCTGATCGTATTCGCTGGGGTTTTGAAAGTGATTTTCCGTGTCATCTGTTTGAAATGTAATACTGTAAGAGCTTTGGAAACACTTTGTCTATTGGTTAGTTTAGCGGAGAGTCGTGAAGCGAAAGAGTCGTCGTGTTGAGCCGTTCCCCGCCTCATGACATTTTATGATAGAAGCATAAAACGTGGGTAATTTGATCGAAAACTGCTATAATAAAAAAGGGGAACCTCCCAGAGAAGGATGATACAAAGCAAGAAGAAAGACATGGATCAAACACCTGCTTACTGATCATGAGACTGAAATGGCTCTGGACCACCCTCTGTTAGTGCTACATTTGTTATCTTATTTCTCAGAGGGGATTACACATATTGCTTTGTTCCTCATGGTATTCTGGGATGTCTCGTTACATGTGTATTAATTAACACAGACCTGATTGCTCTTGTACTCATTACTGTATAAATATCTACAAGTGTAATTGTCACCCAGCTCTCTTTCCTCTGCCAATGTTGTTATGTTAAAAACTCATCTTAAAAGCTTATACATGATGCAGTTTAGTAGTGAGGCATTTTCTGTTTTGATGGAGGTGTCTGTGGTTTTGAATTTGTTCAAGTCCCACTTTAAGGCCAACATAATTGAATTAGCTTGTCAGTGCCCATCATGCCAGTGGTACACAGAGACACGCACTGAGACACGCACTGGGCCACGTGCTTTGTGGGCGTCCAGGTCTCAGGTCTGTGTGACCTAACTTTGATCTTTCACAGGACAGATCAACAAAGTGTCCGGTGTTATCTTGGGTGAAGGCATAGAGAGTCCTGCTGAGTGGCGGCATTCTGCCCTCTCTGTCCTTTCCACCCCTGGAGGTGTGCTGTGTGGGGCGTGCCACATGCTGTCGGGCTGAGCCCTGTTGTGCAGCTTACATTTATTATTTATACAAAGTATGAATAGTTCACACGCACAGGGGACTCCGGGAAAACATTTGATTTGGAGACCTTTCGGATGCTTTGATGGTGAAGGAACACGACAGCCTGAAATGAATGTAGGCTACTGTAAGTGTGATCTGAAAGGCTTAACATAGACATTAGAATAAAGAAGAATATCAGATCGTAAAATAGGCTATCACATATTCCCTGTTGAAAAACATGATTTCTTTGTAAGAACTGGGGGTTACGTGACCAGCAACAAGATGAGCTGTAGTAACGTGGGTAAATGATGTGTGCCAGTAGCCCAGTGTACACAGGAGGATGCTGGGGATGCCGTGAGTAGCAACCTGCTAGGCTCCGCCTCCTCCTCCTCCTCCTCCTCATTATGCATGCAGTTACCGGGGAAACTAGGGGAGTCTCGCGCCGGCAGCCCGTCACGACTCACTTCAAAAGCGCCTGTAGTCTGTGTCGGATAGTAGAGAGCCCAAGCTGCTGCTGCGGAGTACATTTATAGCAACACGGCAGCTGCAAACGAGATACAGCACCTTGAAAACGAGAAGTAATCTGGTGGGGGATTCTCAAAAAGGAGAATTGCGCTTCTTCACTATTCCAGATGTGGGGAGCGCCTCTGCCGAAGCACCACAGCCGGGGTTTGGATGCAAGATGGAGACATAGGGGATTCCTGTCGAGAACGCGCACAGTGAAGAAGCTACAGCCAGTTAACAGAGGGAGAGCAGCGGGGCTGTGCAGGGAAAAATGGTTCAAAACGTGGTTTTGGTGTTTCTCCGCAGGAGGCTGAGCCAGAGACCGAATGTGGAGGAGCTGGAGGGTCGAAACATCCTGAAACGTAAGTTTAACACTTTAATGTCTGTCTCCAAACTGACATCTCCGCCTCGGGAATAATAATATTTACTAAATGTATATGGACAAGCCATGATGGAAAACACAGGGCAAGATGATGCATTAGTGATAGCACAGATCGTCCAGTGTACATTATTCAGGAGCAGGAGACCGCCTGAGTGCACATCTCCTCCCCACTGCTACAAGTGCCCTACTACTGTATAGCAACTGCAGCTGTACACACTGGATATGCAAACTTTATATGAATTACATATTTCTACACTAGTTTAATTACATTATGGGCATTTAATCTCTTTGTTCATTTTGTATTGACCTAATACCCTGCTGTGTTTTAAGTTGTTTACTTACTGATATATTTACATTCCTTATTTGTCTGGTTGTTTTTTTCCAGAGAGGAACGACCAGACAGAGCAAGAGGAGAGGAGGGAGATCAAGCAGAGGCTAAACAGAAAGGTACAAAACTGTGTGATTTTGTATTCTCCCTATATATTCAAATGAGTTTCTGATTACAGCAAAACAAGGGGACTCCTATCATCGGCTTGTTCTTGATGTTTGTCCAATTTCTTGTGTTTCAGCTAAACCAGCGGCCTACGGTAGACGAACTGCGAGACAGAAAGATTCTGATCCGCTTCAGTGACTATGTGGAGGTGGCCAAAGCTCAGGACTATGACAGGAGAGCAGACAAGCCCTGGACTCGGCTCTCGGCAGCAGACAAGGTGTGCATACTGTGGAACAAAGAGTAATGAATACTTAGTAACAGTAAACAAATAGCAGCTACTGACCTGCAAACAATAACTTGGACTGATCCCTAAATCAAGTTCACTACTTAGCCCAGTGTGATTAGAACATTCCCAAATTCTTCTGATACCTTCATCGTCAAAATGACTGCTATGGCTTGTTGTTGTTATTTAGCTTATCGCACCAAAACACCTGTTCTCTTTAGATTTTCTTTGGTTGATTATATTTCCTTTTCTCATGCTGTTGTTTTGCTGTCCAGAGGATGGAGCACCACAAAGGCTCGGGGACGCTAACGCTTTTTTGTTCTCTTTCCCAAAGGCTGCCATCCGAAAGGAGCTGAACGAGTTCAAAAGCACCGAGATGGAAGTGCACGCCTCAAGCAAACACCTAACGAGGTCAGTATTGTGAAATATATGTCTGTGCGAAGTCTGTGTTTTGGGAAATGCATGCGTGTTCTATTCTGGGCCACAGCGGTCTATTTGTAGCTCCCCTTGCTCACCAAGAGGAGCTAAATATAGATGGGAGTGCTTGTAAAATGGGGAGGGGGGGAGGTAGGAGTCATTGTCCTTCTGGAGAGCTCGTACTGCCAAGCAGAGAGAAATGATTAAAAAAAAGCCACGGCGTTCTTGGCTAAGCTTGTTAGGAAAGCAGGGGTCTTTGCTGCGAGTTGTAAAAGCGATCCAGAGGGGGGGGGCTGGATGCGAGAACGTGACCAGTCCCTGCACACATTTAATGATCGCGCTAAAAATAGCCTCACAGATCTGATTAATAGCTGCTATGATAGCTGGCTGTGTGCAGAGACAAAGGCACCCTCTGTTCTCACAATGTGTACTTCTCCCCTTCACACTCGACTTATCTGCATGTTTGTCTCTCCAGGTTCCACCGACCGTGAAGCGAGGACTTTCTTCTGTGAAGAAATGCTGAGCTTGTTAATTTCCTGGACAGTGTAAAGAGCCTGGAGCCTTTTTGTCTTCAGCGGTTCTTTAACATTCTTCCAGCACCCTTGACTGTCATATCACGTGTGTGACAGCCCGGGTGTGGGAGAGAAGATGACGGTAATGTTTGCGGCAGTGTGTCCTGGAGACTACTGAATGTCGCCACATGGAAGCTGGCTGGTTGGAGGAAGACTGGTGGAGCCTCTGCCTCTCTGGATGAGAGCGGAGGGAAAATAACAATCTTGTCATTCAGTCAGTGTTGTTTTTTGTACTATTTGATGGACTCCTTTGACAAGGCGGTGTGAACCCGTGTAGTGGGAGGAAGTTGTGCATGTGACCAGCTTCACCTTTTCTTAACTGATGAAATAATGTGTCACTTGGACTGTGTAAAGACTGTGCAGTCTGGGGGAGGTGGGATTGGGGATGAATTTGATATCAACTGTACATACAGTATGTCAATCTGAATGGGACGTCAATGTCTTCACTGAAAAGAGAAATACCTTTGTAAGCACTACTTGTCTTCAAAATACAAGGTCTTTTTATAAAAAATAATGGCTTTATCTCATTATTTCCAACAGTTTTATTCTCAATCAAGAATTGTGTTGAAGAGATATTTACAAACAAATGATAGATATAACAATTTTATTTTTTCCAGTAGTTAACTTCCTTACATAAATATATCAGGAATTTGTTTTAAAAACATCACAGAGCAGAAACAACTCAATGTTTACTTTCAAGAACACTAAAATGATTAAAACATTTCATCAGGTGATACATATTAGAATAACATAACATTACCAATAAAAACAAACAATGCATCAAGGTCAGAATAAATTAGAAACATCCACATGGAATAAAATCAGAACCTGGAACAATCAACACTTTTAAATTACACAGCGCAGTGTGCATGAGGCGGTGTAATACACAACCTTGTTTACAGTGCAGGATGGTTTTCAGCTCAACATATGGCTCTATCAGGGGAAAAACAAAGCATGCAGGCCTCTCTTCACACTCTTGATCTCCCCGTCTTGCTGCAAAAAGGTAAACAAGCACAAAGAAGACAGTTCATTTGATACCTTACACAACATGATCTGAGTCATAACTTATCTCAAGTCTGTGTGTGTTGTACGGGCTTTCAAATGAGCAGTGTTACTGCTGACAGAGTGAAAGACACAACATGAAAAGCCAGACTAAACGTTTTGGTCTTCGCTGAATGGTCACATGTCCACTCACCATCTCGCTGAGGAGTCTGTCCTGAACTGACTTCATGTCTTTCCTTATCAGGCACATCTGATGGCAGGCAGAGCAGCAACGATTTGGAGGTGGTAACAGAATATGACAGTCAGGACAAGCAGGGGACAAGTTGACACATGACACAATGACATAAGCACAATTCTATTAAGGCTACTCAGCGAAAAATCCTTGGACAGACAGGTTGACGGATAGAGGTGACACAAGCTCTATTTAAAAAACAATAAAGAAAGTTCAACCATAATTGAAAATTCTTCATATGCCACCAAAATTCTATTCTATTAATGGAGTCTAACACTTGGACAACACAATGGCGCACATATTAGATGTGAAGGTTTTAACCTGGGATGTGAATATTCTCTCCTCATACTCCAAGCTGTGGCACACGTTACTCTGGAGGGCCGTCTTCAGGGTCTCATTGCTGGAAAGAGTGACACACAACCGCATGAGGGAGAGGCAACGTAAAAACAAGTAAATGTAAAATGTATATAGACTATGGGTTAAAAGGGGATAAACATCAAATATACTTAGAAAAGTATGGAAAAGGTGGTTTAACCTTTTGAACCATGGTGGCAGTCAGATAAAAAAACCTGGTGCATTTCAGCAGAGGGAACTGACATACTTGACTCTTATATGGACAGAAGGAACAATGCATGGATACAAATCAGAAACTGCGTATGATGAGGAAAGTCAGACTTAATGTTGTCCAGTGAAACAATGTTGGAATCTTAATTATCTTATATATATATATTCATTTTTAGAAATGCTGATTGGATCATAAGTGCTGATTAAAGCATAGAGAGGAGAGGTATGTTCATGAACCTGGATCGCTCCATGGTAACACAAAAAAGTGCTGTTGTGGCCATTCTCTTGTAAAGGTCACAATGAACTTATATTATGTGAAAGCCATTTGCTTTGACCGTGAGAAATCTGGGTATAACAAGAAGGCCATTTCCAGTCCGGTCAGCGGTGCCTGGCTGGATAATGGTTTTGCTGAACAAACATCAGTGAACTCAGCTTAGTCATATGAAGAAACACTGGTCACATCCCTCCGAAAAGTAGGTTATCTTAAGCCTGAGGAAGAATGTGTTTTGCAAGCTTTTTAATCCATGTTACACGGGATAAACAAGTGTGTCGGGCAACACACACACACACACACACACACACACACACACACACACACACACACACACACACACACACACACACACACACACACACACACACACACACACACACACACACACACACACACACACACACACACACACACACACACACACACACACACACACACACACACACACACCACACACACACACACACACACCACACCACACACACACACACACACACACACACCACACACACACACACACACACACACACACACACACACACACCACACACACAGAGAGAGAGGCCTAACTTTCACCTTGTGGTTTCCCGCTCCTGGTAAGAATGGAAAGCAACAGCCTGCCTTTTCCAATACACCTGTGAGAGAACAGAGACCGAACACTGATCAAATCAACATCGAAAACACGTCACAATGAATGACAATTTCATTAAACAGTACTTTAATAGTTTGAGGGTTTTTTGGCAATATTTCTTTAAAAATTCTTCTCCAAAAAGTCAAAACGTGAGAGAGACATACAGTCAGGTCTTTCTCCATGCTTTTAAGCACAGTGTCATTCTTCTCCAGTTTGTTGATCTCGTCCAGCAGGACCTTCTGAACCTGCTCCAGCCTCTGAGTCCTACACACAGGAGAGAGCATTAACCAGTGGAAGTGGAAATCTAAAATGTAACACAGACCATACATACAATGTGTTTAAAGGCCGCAGGGAGGCAGAGTACTGTAGACTTAAAGCCCATCAAATGCACAAATGATTACGTTAAGTACTAACAGAGTATACTAAGAACCGTTCAGGGAAATGAATACTAACTGTACTCATTTCCTCTAAGAACTACATCAATGGGCAACTAGCTTCCAAAATAAGCTATATCTTCATTATGTTGCAATGTATTAGCCAATATGAACAGTACAGGTAAATGTTAGTTATTCAACAGTAACCACATACTAACTGACCTGTGCTTGGTGACCTGCGTGTTGAGGGAGGAGACGTGCTGCTGGACGGTCTTCAGAGTCTGCTTGTTGTAAATCTCCACCATGTTGTGACGGTTCTGAAAACAAACACATTTCAGGATTAAGAAAGCAGAGCTGACAAGAGATAACAAGTGCTGGGAAATATTTCAAGCTCAGTCACTGCTTTCTAAAACACACACTGTCATCTTCTTTTATTTATGTTAAATAGGTTTTTCTTTCAAGGTAAAAAGTGACTTGTTGCTGCCAGTTTTTTTTAACCTGTGTTGGACTATGGAGATCTTTTTTATATGCATAGTTCAGAGTTTGAATACGGTTCACACAGCTTATTATGCCTCCCTGAGGTTCAATTCCAATTGTTAAGTTCTGTCTCATTACTATAAGATATCTCTTGTTCTGTTGGTCTTTATCCCACGGAATACCTTTTTGTTTTGCATTCTCAGGCTTTCTTTATGCTTTCATTTCATCTCTCCTTTTGTGTATTCTGTCTCTTTATCTGTGTGTTTTTGTCAGCCAGTTCTCTCTTGTAAAGTTAATTTCAATGGGCCTTACCTGGTTAAATAAATAAATATATTTGAATTCGTGGTGTTAAGTACCTTCTGAAATTCCTTCAGGAAAAGGAGAACTACATAATGCAGACGTCAGTAGTGCAGTTACTGTGGCATATTCTTTCTCCCCTGTGGACTATTTAAACGTTTGTCATGTGTGTGTGTGTGTGTGTGTGTGTGTGTGTGTGTGTGTGTGTGTGCGCGTGTGTGTGTGTGTGTGTGTGTGTCCAACCTTGAACTTATTCTTCAGGTCGTTGCTGAACTGCTGGAGCATGCTGCTCTGGTTCACAGCCAGCTTTGGTAAGTCGCAGTCCTCCTCCTCCTCCTCCTCCTCCATGTCTCCGTCTCCCCCCTCGGCCTCCCAGCAGTGACTGGAGCTCATTGTGTGGGAAGAAGACATCACGTGGCTCACCTCAGCGTCAGCAGACATCCCAGGGACTGAAGGTAACAGACAGACACACTGATCGGTTAGAGTGAACATCCCAAAAAAAATATATATATATATATGATTTTAAATATACAGGTTGCAATCGGTGTTCTTCTAAAACCAAAAGATAAGGCATTGAAAATATAATTTTTTCAAAAAGCTTGTTTTGTCTACTCTACTATTGTTATATTTTGTATAATGTAACATCTAAAATTGTATTTTACATGTAAGTATTACATCTTATTTTAAAACAGCTTTGTGATTTCTGGCAGTCTTAGTGAACACAGGACAACACTCCCAGAAGTATTTAGGGTACCTGTGCCATGAGTTCTTTTATTTACAGTCCTATTCTGGTCTCTGATAAACTTCTGTATTCTTTCCTTGATACCTTTGAAAGCATTATCCTTTGACTACATTCCCTTTCGTCTAAATCACCTGACCATGAGGTCTGGTTGAAACGATGAGGATATATGTGTACCACCAAGAGGCCTTAACTTAATAACTAAGTTTCACAAACATTACTTATTTCAGGTTTGCATGGGCACTTATATTCTACAGACAAGACGCACTGATTCCTTAATAAAAGTTTCTCTATCAGGAAATGTAGGAAATGTTATTCCTGCCTGAAATAAAAAACAAATGTACTTTACAGCGGTTCACTGGCAGTCAAGAATACGTCTTACAGGACTTGAACAACTTCCTCGGTTTCATCCGAGGAGAGCGCTGCCCTCTGATCTTGCTTTTTTTCTTCTCTTCCTTCTCATCTTCCTCAGAATCACTCGACGATGAGATGTGGCGCTTGCGAACTGGTCCTGTAAAAAGAACCATCTGTTATAACCAATGACCCGGTATACAACTGTTTCATAACACAGTTCCTCTTAAGCAGACTCTCATTTGACCATGGAGCCCCATTAGAGGGAATACATTACCATAACGACTATTACATTACATTTCATTTAGCTGACGCTTTTATCCAAAGCGACTTACAATAAGTGCATTCGACCAAGAAGATACATCCTAGAAGAAAACAGAATCATATAAGTACATTAGGTTTCATAGAGCCAAAACATTTCAAGTGCTACTCAACTGGCTTTAGATAGCCAGTTTGTTAGTATATAAGTGTTTAGTTAGTATCTAAGTGCGTTTTTTTTTTTCATTTTATTGCTCGAAGTGGAGTCGAAAGAGATGAGTTTTTAGTCTGCGCTGGAAGATGTGTAAGCTTTCTGCTGTCCTGATGTCAATGGGACTTAGGTCCCCCTCGTAGTGAGGGTGCAGCGAGCCGTTTGGCTGATGCAGAGCGGAGTGCACGTGCTGTGGTGTATGGTTTAACCATGTCCTGGATGTAGGAAGGGCCAGATCCATTCACAGCAAGTACCAGTGTCTTGAAGTGGATTCTAGCAGTTACTGGAAGCCAGTGAAGGGAGCGGAGGAGCGGTGTGGTGTGGGAGAATTTAGGAAGGTTGAAGACCAGACGAGCGGCTGCATTCTGGATGAGCTGCAGAGGTCGGATGGCACATGCAGGTAGACCAGTCAGGAGGGAGTTGCAGTAGTCTAGGCGTGAGATGACGAGAGCCTGGACCTGAAGCTGCGTCGCTTTCTGGGTCAGGAGGGGACGTATCCTCTATTTAATAAGATGTCATTTTATACTGAATTAAAACGTTGTTTAGGCGTGGAGGGGACCTAGAGAGGTTAGTATGTAGCAACTGGGAAATACAACAACAAGTTAAACACAAAAGGTATTTTACCTGAGATACGAAGCTGCTCAGAGTTTCGTTCTCGGTCTGAAGATGGTGTTTTCTGTCAGGATGGACAGTAATGCAAAAGCCATTAGTTAAACTGGTTAAAGCTATTCAAAATCACAATAGCAGTCAGTGGACTTTCATTGCTGTTATCAGTGAGTCCATGTATCCATCTAATTAGAATCAAGCGATCATAAAACATGAAGTGTGGTAAAGCCATACCTCTCTTTTATGAGACACAGCCAGGCTGTCATCGGGGCTTTCCTTAACTCGACTGGTGAGTACTGATGACTTAGTGGACGACTGGCTGGAAACCCAGGAGACTGAAGACATTTTACTGAAGCCATAACGGCTGCTGACGGTGACTTCAGGGATCGGAGACTGAGGAGGAGAAGACATGGGGGGCTTCTCCAGCTCGAGGAAGGTGGATGTCAACAGGGGCCGAGCGGACGGAGACAAAGGCGATGGAGGCGCCGAGTGCAGACTCTGCTGGATTGAACTTATCTGGAAACAAATAAAAGAATGAAGAGGGACAGAAAGTGATGAGAAAATGATGGACAAGAAGAAGTATGGACACTCACTTAGTGGGTTTCTAATCACCATGGCTGTCAGAGATTAGGGACAGAACAGACATTTTCAGCAACGCATTAAGAGGCACAGATGAAGTGTTGCAGTGCTATTATCTGCTCTGTCTGGAGTTAAATAGGTCATTTTAATCATGAGACTTAATCATTCGGATCATCATGTGCAATTCCACCATTTGATCCTTAATTACTTAATGTATTTATCTGGGGAAGTTGAAACTCTTAAATAGCCACTTCAGACTAATGGTTACACACATCCACCCCCTGAGAGCGGCTGTCAGTGCTCTGCCCACATTCTCTAAGCAATGCTTAGGTCATAGTCATACTCACTTCAATTCTTGGTTATGAAGGCCTCAAGCTATGTAATAATTCACACCTCCATTCATGTCACTCTCGTGAATCTCACGTGACTGTGGCATAACGTAAATAACTTCTATGCAGTGTAAAGGTGTGTCTTTGAATCACTCCAAGATGTTAAATACCAAGAAAACCCAGCAGTCATCGCAACTGATGAATATGAAGTTTGTAGTTGAAATTCTGAAAAGATAATAAGTCCAGTTGAGAATGACTTATAGTACATTTTCTTTGCTACACTGCGCAGCTACTGTTTATATCATTTGGGTGAAAGTGAGAATGTGGTATTATGCCCCGTTAAAAATGTAATTGTGAACTTGAACACGGAATACATATATGGCCATGTGACCTCCATAAGGTGTCAGAGAGGTGCTGTTTTACCTCTGCTGCACGAGGTCCAGTGGGGAAACCTGCAGCGGGGGTTTGACCTTTGGTTGTTTGACCTTTGCGGGTGAGTGAAGAGAGAGAGCGTACAGACTGGACCGAGTGAGTCTTGGATGATCTGTGCTTCTTATCCACGCTGCAGAACGAGGAGAGCCTGAAGGTCCCTTTACTGCTGAGTGTAGAGCGAGGTTTGGGAAGCAGCAGGATTGGCGAGGGGGTGTCCTCGCAGGGAGGGTCAGGGGAGGCAGGGAGTGGGGATCCCAGCGGGGTGAGGAGAGGGGAGCAGGTCAAACCGAAGGTTGGGGCTGACCTCTCGGCAGCTGTGAGGGACCAAAGTAAACACAGATGTTCAAGCAGCTGGCCTCAGAAGTTGGACAGAGAGTATAAGGTCAATATATACATGCTTTTCTTCATATCAATTTACAGTTAAAAGGTTGGAGAGCAATACGGTCATTTATGTAACTGTTTTTAAATCTTTCTCTATAAAGATAAAAGTAAAAAATCCTCTAGTGGGAACATCTTCCAGTACACACATTATGTTTTGCACATTTTTCAGAGCTTAACACAAAATATCTCATGACTGAAACAGGCAAAGCAAATCCCTTAAATACAATAGGTGCAAAACTTTGGGGTTTTGGGTCAGGAATATTTTTTAAATACGTGTTCAAAGACCTTCAGAAATTCAAATCTTTCTTCTTGTCTTCTTGTCTTTTTTGACCACAGGGCTTAACTTTAAGGCCACATGGGGACTTAACTGAGACGAGGTCAGCCCCCCCACCAGGTGAATCATCTCCAAAGGTTTGAGCTAGTTAAGGAAACATGCAGCGTGGCTACACTGAGTGAAAACCAAACACTATGTAGCTATACAATACTTAAATAAAGGGAAACTAGTTCCAGAAGTATCAGTAATATATGGCTACTGTGATGGAATTAGCTTATCATTTGAATCACTTTGACACAGGCTGATGTCAAATGACTGTTATCTAACTTTTGGTGAGTAACTTTCCACTCACATCTCATCCTCTCGATCAGAGGAGGGGACGGACAGAAAGAGGTCTGGCGGGCCGCCCAGGAATCCTTCACTCCATTCATCTGATCTTTGGCATGGGCGTAATTTTTCTTGTTAAACTTCGAAGTTTCCGGAAGAACATTCTTAGGCCGCAACTCCTGAAAAGCAAAGTGTCTCTGTTATATGTCAACAAGCATGAAAGCCATTGTGTGAATTTTCAAGTTCAAGACTGTGGCTTATTCGCAGCTTCATAGAGTTAAAAAGTAACATCTTGATATTTTTCACCATTTGCTATACATAAACATATACAGCTCTGTGCTTACATTTGAGTTGAAACAGCTTTTGGAATGTTTTTAATGCTTTTACTAGCAATTGATGAAAAATGTAAAGCATGTTTTTATTTATATAGCCTTATGCTTTTCAAAAAGCACGCTGAAATGACTTAAATAGGGCTGGGCTCCCACCTTTGAACCAGATGGCTTTTTCAGATCTGACTGGTTGTTGCTGTCCAGTCTCCGGTGTGTATCTGTGGATTGCTCAGAGGAGGTGTTTTTTCTCTTCTTCACCTCTGGAACCTCTGAACGGCTCTTCTCCACCTTCCCCTGCTGGCCTTCAATATGTTTCTGTTGGCAGAAAACCCAAAAAGAGATGGAAAATATTCTGCAACAGTCTACTATTAATGCAGCGCCATCAGGCTAAAATGATTTGTTAAGTCTACAGATCTCAGAAAGTAGAGTGAGAGTACGTCTGTGTGGATTTCTGAAAAGAAAGTTGCCCGTGGCTGAACCTTTCTTGGTCATTGTCTGCCAATATACTAATTGTGTTCAAGCCCTTTTTATTTCCTGCCAGTGTATTACTTTCTTTCAAAAACACAAGCTCTAACAACACTTTAAGATGCCTGGAGAACAGCTACATCCGTCTGCGTTCACTTTGAGTGCTAATGTGACTCTTTAATCATTCTAGAAAGATAGATGCCTCCTTATACATGCCCACTAGATAGATTTGCTAGGGCTTTATTAAAAATACAAATTCAAGTCACATAAAGCAAAGAGTTACCATGTGGTAATATAAATATGATTTCATATATATTCAGACAGGTGCTTTATGCCATGCAAAATAGATATTGCTTGATCACAACATGACACATAAACTCAACGACCTCTACCTTGGAAGTGGGTGGCTGCAGTGCCATTAACTCCGACTCTGATTCGCTGCTTTCTGGCTTCCTGTAGCTTTTGGTTGGTTGTTTGCTGGCAGTCCTTTTCTTCGTCACTTGCGCAGCGTTGTGGGTTTTCTCAGCATTCTCCAGATGATTAGTGGAGGAGTACTATTATTATGGGAACAAAGACAGTATGATTTCAGTCTATTTGCAACAGCACTATAATTAACTGCCTTCTTTCTAAAAATACATTTACATTAGGTGCAAAACAGTCGACTGTGTGCTCCCAATGGCTCCTGGTGTTTTTGCTTGTGTGCGTGGGATGTGGAATTCGCCCAACAACTTTATGCATCTATTACTATTACTTCTACTACTACAACTACAAAATGTTTGTTAGTATTTTCAGATATTTTCCTTTAAAAAAGTAACACCTAGCATGTATTTGTTAAGGATAAAACAGAAAATATTGAAACAAATGTCTTATCAATGTTACTGCGTAACAAGGGATGTAACTGCTTAGACTGGATAAAAGATGGGCTCATTAATGGATGTATTATTTGGAGTTAAGACGTAGGCTTCATTGTAATGCCTAACGAGTTTAATACTACTGGTCTGTCGCATTCCTTTAATTAACAAGATTCCAAAATGGCAATTGTTTTTGGCAGATCCACAATACTTGGAGATCAAATGTTCTGATCAGGTCAAACCTAGTCACACGCATTACTCTATTAGAACAAAAATTATGTTATTTGTTCAGTAATATTTCAAAAGAGGATGAAATGTACTAAATGTGAAAATGGAAATTAAAGTAATATATATGGAAATATTTTTGCCTCGGGAGACAGAGGTTTCTCCGCCTCTGACTGGCTGTCATCAGTGTCTGGATCCCTGTAGCTCTTGGTAGAGATGGCTGCAGTTCTCCTGGGCCTCCTGCCTGCTGCTTGAGCTCTGCTGGGTGCTGCTGCTGCTTCGGGTGCTGCTGCTGCGGGCTTCGATGTCTTTTTCCGCTGCTCCACTCTCTTGATAACGTCAGGCTTCTGCTGATTAAACAACAATGACACACTGTGGCTGAAAGGGATAGTGCATGACTTGATTGAATGCTAGTTGCTGCCAAATCCTACACACTGTACCTTTGCAAACCGAATCAAAAACAATACTGGCTTACCTTTTTCAGTTTGGAAGTGCCCTTGACAGGTTGTTTAGAGGGTAGGGGTAAACCTGGTGATTCATCTGTAATGAAAGAAAACCCTTTTTATATGAAAATACTCATTCTAAAAAGTGGAAAACATATACAAAGTCTTCAAATATTAAAAGTTAGTCTTAATGTAATAAATTCCAAGTTAAGAGCAGCGTGAATGTGTGGCAGTAAAGGCCTACATGAAGTATGAGGAGACACCGCTTTAGGTTTGACCGGCGCCTGCCTGGAGTATGTGGTAACTTTGGGTTTGGGTTTCCGGTTTGATTCCTTTAGCCAGCTAACATCTGTCGTGGCATAGTCAGTGTCGGTGTCACTGAACAGATGCTTCTTCACATGGCGCTTCTGCTGCAACACACAAGGTGGTGGAAGACAGGGAGAATGATAGAAAAAGAGAGAGAGACAGGGAGGAAGAACATCTGTTGGCAAGCCCATGGTGTATTTCAATTTTGTGATTACCGCAGAAATATTTGCCTAAAAAGAAGTGTAAAGGTATACAATCACAAATAAACCAAGCATGTCGTGTCTCTACCATCAACTTTTTATAGCTAATATAATATACTACAGTCAAATGAAAGTATACTTTTGCCACAGGTTCTGCTTTCTTGGTTGTACTGGGCAGTGCTGATGAGTCCTGGATGCCACTGTCAATAAATATTGGGAATATAAATTAGACAGTTGTTAATAACAAATCTTAACATAAGTTAACTGTTGCATGAGTCCATTCTCATCTGGCAGACCTACCTGCTTGATATGAAAGAAGTGCTGGAGAGGGTTTTGTTCTTTCCCTAAAGAACAATAACAAGGACTTTAAGCATTAAAGTGACAAGTACCCAGATATACTGGATGCATTATATCTGGGTTCAACTGACGGTTGAGGCAGGTTTTTCAAGGTATAAAATAATTAACATGACTCCGTTTTTTACCCCAGCACTCAATGGTGCATCAGCGTTGAATGAAAAAACATCCTTTCTGTGCAACACAAAAAAAGGCATTATTACATTCTTAAATGCACTGAAAGCCACTGAAATGACTTAATGTATCTAAAGTATTGAATCAAATTACCGAGTAGTATTTGTTGTGGTTTTGCTGTGGGACTTCATGAGGCTTACAGTTCCAGACTCGTCCTTCTATAGCAGATAAAGATCATCTTTATTAAATCAAGCAGCACTTAATGGAACTCCTCACCATTGATGAAGTAATCACTTACTTTAGCAGTCGATAACCAGCTCATATTGAAGATAGGCCTGTAACAAAAACACATTCCATAAGCAGCAAGGTTATGCCAGTGATTTGTTCATTTAATTAACCCTAGATAACAACCTGTCCTTCACTGCAAACATCGCTGCTACAACCCGCTGCTGCAGATACACTCTTTACAACATCAGGAGGATACGTCCCCTCCTGACCCAGAACGCGACGCAGCTTCAGGTCCAGGCTCTCGTCATCTCACGCCTAGACTACTGCAACTCCCTCCTGGCTGGTCTACCTGCATGTGCCATCCGACCTCTGCAGCTCATCCAGAATGCAGCGGCTCGTCTGGTCTTCAACCTTCCTAAATTCTCCCACACCACACCGCTCCTCCGCTCCCTTCACTGGCTTCCAGTAACTGCTAGAATCCACTTCAAGACACTGGTACTTGCTGTGAATGGTTCTCGCCCTTCCTACATCCAGGACATGGTTACACCATACACCCTAGCACGTGCACTCCGCTCGGCATCGGCCAAACGGCTCGCTGCACCCGCACTGCGAGGGGGACCCAAGTTCCCATCAGCTGAAACACGTCGGTTTGCTATCCTGGCTCCAACATGGTGGAATGAGCTCCCCATTGACATCAGGACAGCAGAAAGCTTACACATCTTCCGGCGCAGACTAAAAACTCATCTCTTTCGACTTCACTTCGAGCGATAGAATTACTAACAATGCACTTATATACTAATAAAGGACTGGCTTATCTAAAGCCAGTTAAGTAGCACTTGAAATGTTTTGGCTCTTGAAACCTGATGTACTTATATGATTCTGTTTTCTTCAAGTTTGTATCTTCTTGGTCGAATGCACTTATTGTAAGTCGCTTTGGATAAAAGCGTCAGCTAAATGAAATGTAAAGTAATGTAATTTAAAAAAAATGAAATGTACCTGTTGACAACAGGAGGGATCCAGCTCTTAGGGATTGTTGCTGCAGTTTCTTTTACTGAAGATTTGGGGGTCATCTCATAACGGCTAGAGATGAGCTTCACCATGCTTTCTGTGACCTCTGCATCTCTCTGCATGGAGACAGTAGGTGTGAGATCACAATACACTACATTAGAACAAACAGCAAGCTTACACAGAATGTATACCTTCTCTTTGCTTGAAAGGGCGTTACTGGTTTTATCCTCAACATTCAATGGATCTTTCTTCTGCAGAGCTTTGGCTGTGGAGGCCTTGGCCGGAGCTTTGGCCGGAGCTTTGACTGGAGCGGCATCTTCCTGCAAGGACATCTGGTGTTTGCTCTTCCCTTTAGCCAGGCTATTTTTGTGGGCCTGCTGCTCTTTGGGACCACACAGCGTTGAAGCACTCGGGTCTGCAGTGCGTCTGCCTTTGGCGTGGCCTTTAATATCAGACATCTTCCTCTGTGCTGCAGCAGGCTCCTGTGGTGCAGCGTCCTGGTTGCTCTCCCCGAGGACCTGCTGCAGGCGCTGGGTGAGTTCACTATGGAGCTGCTTTTGGCTGTGTTTGTCTGAAACCGAAAACCTCTGAGCTGAGGAGGGGCGGTCCTGCTGTTGTGCCAAACTTGAACGAGGCTCTAAAGAGAAGAAATAATTTAATATAATTACTTCAAAAACAAAAAAAACATTTGATGACTTTTGTTGTACTTGCTAATATGTGTGTAACTAGATTATAATATGCAAAACATTTGGTTTCTTGTAGATAGTCAAGATATTTGAGGACTTACCACTTCTTGGCAGAGAATTTATTTTCTGTGTAGGCATCATTAGCATTTCAGAAACGGAGAGTTTGCTCCAGTTAAGAGATCTGCAATTTGAACAAATAAATGTTAATGAACACTCTATACAAACATATTGTATAAAGCCCACATATAAACAACATTACCATTCGGAGAATCACATTCTCTGATAGCAGTATAAATATAATTATAATTAAAATAACAGTATGGAGGACTTTTACAGTTCTTACATGTTTTTCCCAGTTTTGGGTTGGCTGTCAGGAACACAATTAGGATCTGTAAGCAAAAAGATCAATGGTGGGTTCAAGAATCTTGGTAGAACAACAATATTTGTATTTCCTGGCTAAGCTAACGTATAGGTCAGTATAGCATTTCATACCAAGAGACTGCTCTTCTCCCTGTCCAGCTAGAACCATTTCCACTGCTTTTGCCAGTGGTATGTTCTGTAGGACAAGGAAAGACAACAAATGCAGGAGAGTGATAATAGTTTGCACCATATTAGAAGAGGGATTATGTTTGAAAAGCAGGTTAGCACCAATACCCTTAAACATTCATTTGGTATTTTACCTTTTTGTGTATATCCAATCCAACATTATTCTTCATGGAAAGTTTGGAAGCTGTTCTCTGTTGAGATGATTCACTCTGAAACAGACCCGAGGAAATTAAAAAAAAATCACATTTTGGGCTTGCATGGAGAATATTCAGGACATGCCATACCTGCTTTGTCATGCCACCTGTTGCTGTTATTGTACTGTTAGGTGTTGTGCCATTACTGGAGGTCTTAGCAGTCGTCCAGAGCTCTCCGAGGTAAGAGTCACCTTTCCTGTCACACGAACGAACCATCTTCAGAGACGGCTTCCCTTTACCCTTGGCGGAATTGTCTAAAAGGTAGGGGGAAAAAATATCAATGTCCTGGAGCTGAATTGACAAACCTTGCTTTAACACTTTGTGGACAAACACAAAGTAAGAAATAGAGAATGAAAACATCTTTCTTTGATTTAACATCAACTATCACTAGATGTGACCTAAGAGGATCTTTTATGACTGTCTCATGCATAACTGTTAAATCTTACAACCTTGATCACATGTCACTGCTAATTTGTCTTTGACATGAAAAAGCTCAAAAAGCCCTGTAATAAGAAACATGTGATGAAAAAGTTTAGTATAGGATTATATATAATGCAAAATAAATGTTTACATGTTGTACTATTAACTCTACTTTCATCAAAAACAAAAAAATGTATATCAACAATTTACAATTCCATTTTAATCTTTTTAAAGTATGTCAACTTTTAACTTTCAAGACTTTTCAGGACCATTCCATCAACTGGTGTGTAAGCAATTCAGGACAATATTTGTTGACACATACTTGATGACAGGACCGCAGAGAGGGACTTAGCATGATGCACACTTCCTCCTGCACCACTGCAGATGAAGGTGGTCGACTCTGAAAACCTCATCCTGGTAGGAGTCACAATCTGGAAGAAAAAAATAAAAGAATATTAAAATAAAACACATGAAAGATAACGGGAATATTAAAAGAATGAACATAAGGAAATACTGCCATCAATATGAATAGAAGGTCTAGGATACCGGCCAGCCAAAGGATTGGTTCCCTTGCTTTCTACGCCCCCTACTGGCCTTGACTGATAGTTTTTAAGGCTGAAGATCCACAGAACCGCAACCAATAATTACACTTTTGGGTAATATGTCTTCTTTTTATGTGGCCATAGTAAAGGATGGTAGAAATGTGGTCCAAATGTAATTTGTAACTACTCTACCATCCTATTTGTCATCTTAAGTATCCTTATATTTATTTTCCAAAAAAAACAAATGGTGGCAGAAGAACATAGCGGTGTTATTTTGTGTACTTTGACATAAAATTAAATCCTTCTATACAAAAAAGTGTAATAACTGGAAAAATACAGTTTCATCTAAACATCAGTTTAATTTTCCTGGGCCAATAAGAAGATAATATAATAGTAACTATTTTCGGAACCTGGAAAGCCTGTTTTCTATCTTTATGAGCTCAGTGAACTGAATGTGATTGTCTTGGACAAACCTCTATGTTTTTAAGTACCAAAAAAGTACAAAACTGTTTCACCTGTAAAGGTGCAGCTGGGGCCGGTAAGTAAGGAGCAGTGTTTTTCTCACTTTCACCAAGAGACATCTGACTCTCTGGAACAACCTGCATGGAGAGCAGCATGCAGGACAACACACAAATGCATCAAAGCTGTCATGCTGGTTTGCACATTGTATAACGACAATTTGATCGACATTGATCACAAAAAACACATAATATGCAGAATATAGTTTAGACCACATAAGCAGTCGCCCCAGCTGTCTCCAGTTAAATACATCGTGGCTTCTGTATATCCACAGCATTATGATAACAGACAATTGTTTACCTGGGAGATGCTATCTTCCATTTGTATTTTAACCGTAGTGTTGACTACAGATATGCCTGACTTCCCCACAAATCCCTGCAAGGGAAACACGGTTGTTAATACATACTGCCAACACACTACACTTTTACTGTTTTGTATTTTGTCAAAGAAAGCAGAATATTCCTATTCACATTGTGGCCAATGAGATGGAGTAAACAAGCCGTGACCTACTGCGCTCTTGCTGTGTCCATAGACCGTACGAGCAGCCTGCAGGATGTCCAGGGAGGAGCTGAAGTGGATGGTGAGGCTGGAGCCTTCCACCGCACCCACGACCACCACCTCCGACAACTTCAAATGCAGGACTTTTCTCTTGCCCTCCTCTGGAATAAAAACACACACAGACATACTCAACTCTCACACACACATATTTAAGACATTTGCAGTCACATCAAAATCAAAAGGTGATGTTATCTTCCTAGTTTTGTGCTTTTAAATAATCTATTAAGCTTATTTAGTTCCTATCAATTTACTTCATGAATGAAAATACTATGGTTTAAGAATCTAGGAATCATTGAATATTATAATACAAATCAGATGTATTGACTATCTGGGTAAGTAAATAAATATGTAGAGTTTGTGCTTTGATTACCTTTAACAGTGTAGCTTTGGACTTCATTCTCATTGATACATATTGTTTCCCACTGGCTCTCCTGCATGAAGAGGACATATCTTCCTGTTAGGCTTTAACACGTATACTGTCCATTTAGTGTTGATTCTGTAAATGTTGCCGTTTTTGATCATCACTTTCAGGAATTCATGTGAGGTACCTGTGCTTCTTCATCACCCAAAGAGAAGTAGAAGGAAATGCTGTGGCTCTCCAGGTTGAAGTCGATCCAAAATTCTTCAAGCTTCTCATCAGCAGGCATCATTAGCTGACAACATAAACACAACCCTTTCAACACATCTGTGAATACACTTAGGACTACATTGTAAAAGAAAGGTTAATGACACCAAGAAGGCAAACGTGGACAGACAAATTCTGTAATTATTTTCTATTATTTTTCTGATTCTGGTGATACTTACCTCATTCTTGTCCAAATAGACCTCCAAACAGGGATAGGAATACACTCTATAGTAGAAAGAGAAAAATATTATTCAAATGTGCATCTGTCACTGGATGTCTTCCCTAACTTCGTTCTGTCAAGGTCCACCAAATACTATTTGTATTTAGAGGTTAATGATCAAGTTAAAAAGGAATGCTGGAACAGAATTAGAAAATGGCTTATTCTATGGGTAAATGATATCACTGTGTAAAGAGGAAGACATCTTTTTCATTCTCTCACTGTGCTAGAGTAAAGGATATGAAATAACAGATCAATTACATTATTCCTATCTCTAATGGTCTTTGGAGTTACTGAGCTTTGGGATTCGTATACCTTCTCCTGTCTCCCTGCATCCCATTCACCAAGTTCAGAAACTTGCGACAATCCTGAAATCACACAATCTTATATTAAAATTCTGTGTAGCTGAACTCCTGTTGTAATATTATACAAAATCATTCCCACTCATGATTGTAAATGCAAATGAGAGTCAAAGGTGATAAATTGCATTTACCGTCTCAAACTCAGAATCCTGGATCTTGACAAAAGCACTGGCCACATGCTCCATGCTGAACCATCGATGAGCCAGCTCCTTCCTCTGGTCAGGAGTAGCCATTCTGCACAAGGCCTCCATCAGGGCTGTCTGCAGGTCGTAATCTGACAAAACAAACTGTGTTGTACATTTGTTGTGTCTATGTATGGTCCAGGGTTTCGAGCGATGGTACTATGCATAACTCCTACTTACCACCTCCCTTCAATATCTGACCAGCCAGCTTGATCCTGTCAAAATGTAATGAACAAGTAAACATTTGAGTGTTATAGTAAATAAAAAGCAAAAATGAATTTTACCATGACGATACTCCCAATACATACATGATATCTGAGGCATCCTGAGACGTAAGGATCTTTCTCTCTTTCTTAAACTCCACTGGGATCTTGTCCAGAATTAAGTTGAATTTGCGGATTGCCTGTTAGAACATTGTAAGCAAGTTGATTTACGAGCAAATACATGACCCACAGTTGTAATGCTCTTCCAAATAACTGGTTATTGAAAAACATTTCAAACCTCTTTTTGGATCAGGATGTAGATTCTGGGGTCCACTGCCAATTCACCAACAGGATACAGAAAGGACTCTGTGATTTGATGTGTTCCTGCAAAAAAACAAGGGGGGACAGCCATACTGTGAATAGAGACAAAGCTAAATATGTGACTTACTAACTGTCATCATGAACGTTGTTGGGTATACTATAGAATACAATGACTTCAATATTACACTAATGAATAATAAACCTTTTAAATATGTAATAATACAAGTAGAATATACTACACATGGCTCATTGAACTGACAAAACAAGATATTTTACAAATGTACAAACGTACCCTCTTTGCAGGCTTCATGAACCACCTGTAACAGAGAGAAAATAAATCAGTTTAACATTATGGACACTAACATGAGTGGTATATTGTTCTGTAATACAAAGTATGTTTTACTGTAACACATCAGCTCACCATCAAGGCATCAAAGAAGTCCTCAGAGAGGTTGAACAAGGTCTCATCCCACTGTGGGCCACACTGGATCCATAGTTGCCTGCATTTCTCAAACCACTGCACCATGTGCACAAAACAGGTTTAATATACACCTGATTAAAGCAATAACTCATACAGCACTAACAGTGTGAGTCTGTATTTTATCGTTCACTTATCTTTTTGATCAGGCCTTGAGCGATTATTCCTGACAGTCCCTGACGACCACCAGGTCGTTTTAGGTTTTTCCCACACTTGTAGAGGATAGTGAGACCCAAACTGGCTGACTTTGAATCGTTTTCATCCAAACTCTACATAAACATAAACAATATAGATGTGGTTACATTAAACATACAGACAACATATCACCATGGCATGTTAGTGAGTGTGCTGGGCTACATCTTACCCTGCTGACAAGCTTATCCAACTTGGTGAGAAACTGTTGGGAACATTTTATGGTGGTCCCTTCACCAATGTTCCTTTGCAAGAATAAATTCAGGGCTTGGACTTGCCCACTCTTCAACACCTCATCAACGACTTTCTCTAACTGCACATGAAAAGGGTTCATCAACGTTTACTTTACACCACTACGTGCAACAACAACAACTATGTAAGTGACATTGAGTGAAGTGATATGGATGTTGACAAGCTTTTTTAAAGTTTTCCATTCCCACCTGAGTGTCCTGCGCCGGTGCCATGTTGTCTTCCAAGATAAAGCTACTGCCGCCTGGCCTCTGCTGTCTTCAGAAACACTGTAAAGATACACCATCAGCAGCAAGCTGTCAATAATAACGCCAGGATTGTACTTATTGTACATAACTGTAATTTTTGAACTAGTAAGTCGTATCTATGAAACTCCATGGACAGTAATAACAATCTATTACCAGCTAAGAACGAGTGACTTTGGAAACTCAACCGAGCTGATATGAAAGTGAACAGTTAACTAACGGTTGACTAGCTTACCTTATTACAGTTGTTCAATGCTAGTAACGTAAACCTACACAAGCTATTTAACTACTGTTTACAGACGTTTTCCATAAGCTATATCACTATGACGTTTACCATACTGTCCTAATGGTGGCTACCCGACTCTATAGTTTGCTCTGGGAAAGTATAATCTAAAGATACCTGCGGCTAATGCTACTAGCTAATATAACATCTCCTAGCTAACGCTCGTTGCCATCGTTAACGTTCAGCGGGCATTGAATAATTAAGGTATTTGATTTGATTGATCTCGTAACGTAACCTACCGTGATGCCAAATGTCGCCCAGTAACATAACATAATGACTATTTATCTTTATTTGTTTGACAGTTTTGATAGCTCCATCGCAAAACGCGCGAATATTTTTCATTTATCGCGCATGCGCGAAAAAGGTCGCCCAGCAGTCACCAGCAGTGTGTCGAGGATGACTTTAATAAAACATAACGGTATTTTGGTAGGGAAAGTGTACTCAAAATTAAATGACACTGTTTATTTATAATATTCAAACATTTTGTATTGATCCATCAATAAACAATATTATTTATTATTTTACCCCTAATTTTAAATTGATACGATTTAATTTTTGAAATGACTAAACTTATATTTAATTTAAACAATCATTTATCAACATTGTCAACACCTATCACATTTAAAACCTGTAATAAAAACATAAACAAAACTATGTATGCTTACTCATCAATTTAAATGGCTACCTGCATACAGTACATGGAAAATATGTTCGAGACTATTAAATAAGCTACAGGAAATAATAAACATATCAACACAAGCTGAACATTATGTGGAATTGTGCTTTATTGTTAAACAAAATATGCGTTCATTTCTGATTCATCTATTGCATGGTTATGGCATTTGGTTTGACAAAAATAAACTCTGAATACAGAGCAATTTGTTTTGCAGACAAAATTCCTGCAATGTATAAACTGATATTCCAAGTCAGACACCCAGCTAGATAATGGTGGACTGACATGCATTCATTTCATATTGCTCAGTGGGTTTCACTTCTTCTATTGGCTAAAAATCAGCCCAAAGATAAAATAATAGAGTGCAATTTTTAAAAAGGAAGCCCAAAAGTAAAACAGTGGCACTCAAGTTAGTTTCAGGTGCATTGAGTGTGCAACCTGACTTGGTTTGTCCAGAGTTGTCAGTTTTTATTGAATCTCATTCGATTCAAAGATATCACCTGCAGTCTCCAGAATTAACATTATATGTCAAAAGCGGTTATTCATATACAATAGGTTTATCTGAGAAAAGTAGTCATAAAGTGCTCTAAATTAAAGTTGTACCTTTAGTCACCACCCTAAATGAAGTGCACCATGCTATCTTCACATTCTTTGGGCACAACAAGCTTGTAGTTATGGCACACTAACTTATAATTCTCTCCATTATTGTTGTCCCAATATTCAGTCCCACAGACTTTGTATTGAATGGCAAACTGTAACACTGCTCCCGGATGCAGGAATGGAGGAACAGGCAGGTGGAAACGAAAGGTATCACAAGTAAGTTGACCCTCTCCTCCTTCCCAGGCCTTGGTGGACACCCAATAGGCTTTAGTTTCTGAGCTGCTCTTCCACTCTGTAAATGAATAACGAGCTATGACATCTTTCTCAAAGTCCATATTGAGGACCTGGGTGATTCCGATAACACACAGTTCAAAACACAAGACTCTCTCCAGGCACACTTTTTGCTCATGGAGGCGATGCAGGAATCCTTGCTGGTCACCAGGTTGCTGGGCAAAAACTGGCTTTAAGTATGGCAGAGATATCTCGAGATGCCTTCCATCTGCCAACTCTGCACCCATCAACAATCTAAAGGCAACATGATGCGGTACAGATGGATGATCGGCAGATTTGAAAAGCTTTATGTCCTCCAGGTCGAGCCCCAAAGAGTCAACAAACCGTACGCCAACATTTCTGAATTGCTTCTTCTTCTCTGCGGTGGAAGGCAGAGAGTGGGATCGCTGTCTGATGATGGGTTTAGGCGTGGGTTCACAGGATAGACTGCGATGAAGCTCTGGTGCTTTTGTCAGAGATACTCTGGGAGTCGGGGGGCGGATTGGAATTGTCTTCTTTGCAGCATCAGGTTTGTCAGCTTGAAGCATTTCAGTCACTTTGATAGTAATGCAGGGCATTGAGACACTGCTGGAAGAGCTGGGAGTCTCATCCTGTGAAAGGGGAATCCTCTCATGTCCAATAAACCACCCTCTTTTCATGTTCTGTTTCATGTTGTCCTGCTCACCTGAAAGAAAAACTGTGAAGCATTATTTATTAGTATTATGTCACAATCATCCCTAAAACACACTCTTATCCAAAGCATGATCTAATGATGTGTATGTTGTTGTGCTGCAAATATGACAAGAACAGTTTTGTTGTTAACATGATATGACAGAAACAGTCCTAGCAGGAAGATAGTGGGCGTGTACTCTGGGAGTACGTGCATGAATGCCTACAGCCCATTTCTTTCTTTGTGCAGTAAATTGACGATTTACTCAATCTGCCTTAACGTGGTTTAATAAAACAAGACAACGACCTCACCTCACCATATACATGAAGCGTTAGCTACATCTAAGCTGCAGGGTGAAGCCTCAGATCCTCCATTAAAAGTAGTATATGTTAGAACTGCGCGTTCCCGTGAGTCACAGAGTGCCCGCTGTTGGCTGCAGTCACGTTACCTGATCTAAGTACTTTACATTTTCCCAACTCTGAGACACATATACATGTCGTGCCCTCCATGGAGATCAGCTAATATGCGCGCAGTTATCAGGAAGCTTCATACGGACCAAAACGTCACAGACTGTTATATGGGACATTGAGTAATTTCAGATCAGAAGGAACGTTTTTGTGCAGTGGTTTAACTCTTTTTTTTCCAAATCTAGCGTTGACTCTGTCGCTCCTGTCTTGTGCATTATTTTCCAATAGTAAGTAGTATCCTCAGAGACCGTTTGGATATTTCGTTTGGAAAAGCGGCTAGTTTGACTTCACTCCAACTCCCACAATGCATCTGTATCGCCCAGTTGGACCCAAGCAGCGAGCCAGTCAGCAGCAGGTAAACAAACCAATCTGAGACTGGGACAGAGAGCCAAACAAAGCGTATGTGCTGTTAGACGGACCGTCTTACATTTTTAATAGCGAGGAGGATGACAGTCTTAAAAGAGGCACGTCTGCTGACAACACATCGTTAAAAACAGTCGCTGCATTGTAATTCAACAGAGAGGCGAGTCAACGGCAAATAGAAGGACGACATTAACCTGCATCGGCTGTCTGCGCATGATGCATTGCAGCACTTTCGAGAAAATGGGTGTTTTTAGCCTCATCCTCAGAATAGAGTGTATGATCCGAGATGTCGGTTGGGTTCTTTAGCTACCGTGTCATTTGCTAGTGCTGGATTCAAAACAACATTCCTACTGGCGACCTGCAACATGGGGCCCATCATGCAGGAGCGCACAGCATCCACGACACTGAAACGCGTCGTCTCCAAAGAGAAGATTCGAGTAAAACATACTGAAAACAGCGAACCAGTAACCAGGTGGGCCTAATTTTACAGTGACACATTTACGATTAAACAAAAGGTGTTGTGTTATTTCTCAGACATACGTACGTTAGAGGCGAACCTGACTAACCACTATCATGTTTCCACAGTTCAAAGAAAGGTAACAAGATGAAGAAAGCAGTGGGCCAGATGAAAAATGGCCTCCCAGGGCCAGGTCAGGATAAGGACACAGTGACAACACTGCAGAAGGTGAGTGATCAGCATCCTTGTACATTAAAAATAGATCATGTCTATATGAATGTCCTTGTATAAGTTGTGTTCTGGGATATGTACTCATATAATTCAAGGCAAAAACATATTTCTATAATGATTGTTTTATAGGGCACACAGTCAAAAGGTGGCAGGGTCAAATCTGGCACTACACGCAATACAACCAAACTCTCCAGGTACGTGTGGTGAGGGTTTTGGTTCATACTGCATGCTTTGTCTCAAGTACAAATCTCTAAATCCCCAACAGCTTTCTCTAACACTCGCTTGTCTCGTTACAGCCCTGAAGCAGAAGGAGATGTGAAACCTCTCCTCCGCAAACATTTATCTGTGCACAGAAAAGAGGAGCAACGCGAAAATCAACGGATGTCACAGTGCAGCAATGAGCTACACCAGAATCGTGGGGGGATGGGGAAGAATCGCCGAGCTCTCTCGCTGCCTCTCTCCCCAATATCAGGGCTTCGACACATGCCAGCACACCCCCTAACTCACTCCCCGGCCCCCACCCCAGAGGCATTACAGCGACACTACAACCAGAAAGATGTAGACACTGACAGTGCGAGTGATCTGTCAGACTCTGAGAGGCTGCCAGTGCTGCCCTCTCCCTGTACCCCCTGCACCCCTCCTCATCTTAACCTCCGGGCTGAGGTCATCAACAGTAATGACTTTCCCCCGGACTTCCCAGGACCTCATGGCGCAATGGGTGATGAAGATGAGATTGATAAACCCAGCTACAGTTACCCAGACTTTCTGCCTCCTCCCTTTAACAGCTGGAGCCTGAGACAGCTGGCAGTATTTCTTCATACGGATGGCCGGGGTGCCCCTCGACCTAAGCCTGTAGGGACCCTCGAGAAGTACTTGGAGAGGCTGCTGCAGCTGGAGTGGCTCCAGATTCAAACAGGGCAAGCAGAGAGCAGCCGTGTGCCAGGGAGCCGCCCAAGGCCACAGAGCTTTCCCTCTGCCACCACTGCTCATCCCCCTAGGCCTCACACGGCTCCACCATCCCGACTCAACTCCCCTAAAGGGCTGCGGCAAAGCCAGCGATCCTTTCCACTTACACCTGTCAACAACCCCCCCTCACCTGCCTCAGCCCAGCAACCGCACTCCCGTTTTCCAGTTTGCCCTCACTGTCATATCCGCTACCCGTTGTGCAATGGAAGCTGCTCGGCCTATGCCTACCAACGCCACTCAAGGCTCAGTCCACTGCTTGAGCGTAAAGCCAGACCTGGAGCACCAGCTAAAAGAAGCAGCAGTGAGACCAGAGCAACCTCAACGGAAGGGAGGAGCCCTGGAGCACAAGGTGGAGGAAATGGTGGGGGAGGAAATGGTGGGGGAGGAGCCCAGACCCCAGTTAGCCCCTCAGGTGGAAGGAGTCATCTCAGAAACATGCAGGCCGCAGGCAATGCTCGTAAGCAACCCCAGGAATCTGGAACTAACCCGAACAGCAGAGGTCAGGTGAGGAAAAGCCGTGTCAGAGCTAACTCTGAGACAGATGTGAAAAAAGAGCCGGGTGGCAGCAAAGCAACTGGTGCAGAGAAACAGGTTGGTGCTGCAAGTAAGAAAGAGGTCACAACCTCCAAGAGAGTGGAGAAGGACTGGCAGAGGACAGAGGCTGTAGGTCAAGCCTCTAAAACTGCCATGAAAAGAGCTGCTAAAGAGCCGCAGTCCCTCTCCAAATCCTCAGCTAGTAGTAAGCAGAATGGCAAAACAAAAAATGTGCACTTTGTTGCAAAGTAACCCCTATACATCTACAGTATAGTGCTTCATTTACTAGAGGTTACTTGGTACAGGAGCTTGAACCTATGCTTGCTTTCTGTGTGATCTGTGTTATACTAACATGTTGTAACTGTTGAACAGCAGTCTAAACCAGTCAGTGGTGTACAGCCTTATAAAGGTCAAAACTAACAAGAGGTTCAGCTGCTATAAAAAGAGATAAAAACAGCATTTATTTCAAAGAAAAATACTCAAATAGAACAGAATATACACGCTGTATTTCATTCAAAATGTACAGTAAGTATACAATCATAATGTTTTACTGTGTTTTGACAGAAGGCTCATTATGACTCAAAGCACTACTATGATTCCTAAATAACAGCTTTTATGTAAATTGAGCTCTGCTGCACTGCACATCATCATCTCTAAGTATACTACTAATGTTCAATAGGCATCAAATAAGCAACTACTCTACCATAGGATAACTGTCAGCATAAATATTCCATAGTGAAGTTTAACACATCATTACATTCAAGTCATCAAATGCAACCATAGCGGTAACTAGTGGAGTCTGTGATGTAGGGATGTATTTGTTTGTAATGCTTTTACTTTACTTGATGTGGCGTTTTTTTGGAGCCTCATGTTACAAGACATATGTTCGGTTAAAGCATCTTTGGCTGAAAAGAAGGACGCACATTGAGTGGTGGTGTAATGCCGTGCTGTTATTTGTTTCAGAAATATTTGTGCAATGCTTTAATTTTTTGTTACAAGGGCTTCTCATGTTCAACAGCTTGAATTGTAGTCCATGATGATAAAGTGTATTTTGCATTGAGCTGAGCTCTCTCTGACAGAAAGTGTAATGTTTGCTACGAATGTAAATGCGTATTTTTCCAAATTTTATATACCATAGTTATATTTATGAAAAGTGTTGTGGCTGACTTGTATTCATCATTAGCATTGTTATGTTTACATTGTCATGCACAAAAAGAAAAAACAAGATGTGGTCAAAGAGCTGAATGTATACTTAATGTCTACTGTGCCGTACCATTGCTCATCCCTGAGATTCAATGTGATTTCAACACATCATAGCTGTTATGCTGTAACATGGTCATGTTATATCACACTGCATACTTGAAGTCTGTATATCACTGTGTTTACATTAGATTGTCTTATCTGTTCGTTGTGATTTACCACATGCACTTGATCCATGGGAACACCACATCAATGTAAATAACACGATATGTATTCAGATTGCACCTCTTTACTTAATATTCATGTAAAGTATCAAAGCCATAGATAAGAGGCTACAAGGGGCGATGTTATTATAAATGTGTACATTATGCTGACACGCACGCAGAAAGATTGTGGTATGTATTTTCTCAATGTTGAATGCAATTATTTGTAAGGCATAGAAATAAATGTTTTGCACTCAAGGGATATTCATTCACTGGCCATTCTTTGCAACACATGCACACTGTTAAAATCCCAAACTTAATAGGGCTTAGTTTAACTTAAATGATGGCAAGTTTAATTTATTTTCATATTTAAATGTCAACCTTGTTGGATGGATGCTGATCAGTTCATCACAGAGAGTTAACTTTTTATGAATATGACTAAAGTTGTTGTGTTTACTGGAGGCTGTCCTCTTCCAGGCACATACCAGGTGGTAAAGTGTTGGGACATAAAAATGATGAGTGTGTTACATCCTTTTCTGGCCTGGAAATGGTTTAAGGAGCCGCCGCAGCTGCTTCTCCCTGTCATTCACACACCCTGCAACAAACAACAGGTATATATTGGCAGCATGAATATGTATGTTATCATAGCGCAACAAAGGCTTTCCAACATGATCCAATGCCAAATGTCCTAATTGAATAAATTGAGACATTTGTTGCCTGTAACATTTGCTTTGGCATGTTACCTAGGTGTGTGTTGGCAGAGAAACATGCACTGCCAAATGTTTCTAGATTGACGTCCTCTCTATAGACGGGCCCATCATTCCACATCAGATCGTAGCCTCCCACCCTTTTCTCCTTGCCAGTGAGCCTGAAGGGGAAAAAAACCAAATTGATTAGAAAGCAGCACCAGTGTGTTAAAAGAAACATATCTTATCGTGTGTTGTGCAGTATCTTGTGATCTGAGGGAATTGTAGATAATTACTATAGTTTTTTTGCACCCACATCCTTTACTTTTATATACAACACCCAAAATTATCCTTCCAAAGGTTTATAGTGTTTCCCCTACCATTGTCTTGGAGGGGCGCTGCGCCCCGCCAACGGAGCCCTGCCAACGGAGCCCCGCGCCCCCCCTGATATTCAAGGTGTTTTAAAAAAAATATGTATTCTTTTAAAAAAAATGTTATATATATATATATATAGCACCAAATTGCAACTAATCTATATCTACTGTCACTTTTCCCATTGAACATGTGCTCTTTTATTAAATAAACTAAACGCTTTCATTTTAAGTTGTGAGTTTAGTGCATTAATCAATAACAATAATCCACAGCTCCTCTCTCTGCTCCAGAGGATTTAAAAAATATATATCCCAATGCCACCCCGCTCAGGCAGCACCCCCCCAAAGCAGTAAACCTAGGGGAAACACTGCTGTTAAATAACAAAATAGAAAGTGGTGTCTATAATGCATGCAGAAACAGAGAGCCCTTACATGTTAATGACAAAAAGGCAAACACAGAATGGGAAGGTGGCCTTTACCTTCCCTCCATATCAACAACATGTAAAGTGTCTTCCAGCAGACTGCACTTCATCTCATAATCCTCTTGACTACTGGGTGTGTGTGACGGAGAAGCATTCACCTCTATTAACCACCTGCAAAAAGATAGAGGATGATATTATTCACCAAAACATATACTTAGCATTTCGAGCAGACATTACCTCATTCCATGAGAACTCAAATGAATGTATGTATCCTTATTTTCACTGGAGAGGGATACTGTCACTGGTGCGTTTTATAATTTACAGCAGGATTATTGCATATTTGTCTTTCTTTTTTTTTATACGCTCTACAGATTTACGAGGTATTTTATATAACACTAGAAGATTTACTGCTTTGTTTTTGAGTATCAAGAAAAACAAAGCAACGTGTGCTGTATTTGCTTGTCTGTGCTTCTCTGTGCTTTAACTTTCCAATAATGAATCCCTTTGTGCATGTTTGTTAAGGGGATCTGTGTAGGTGATGATGTGTAGGCTCACTTTGTATGACCAAAGGAGCACTTACGGTTTGAGGTTCTGATCCAGTAGAATGTCGTACCCATAGAGCTCAAAGCAGTGTTTGTCATTTATAATGACTTTCTGAACACTCTGAAGACTGCGGACAAAGATGTTATCAATCTCTTTGAACAGGGTTTCTATTGTCTCTCTGCCATGTTTTGCAGTGAGGTATCTTCGAAGCTGTTGCAACTGCCACTTGCATCCCTATTTAGAGATTGACAAAGAAATGCCAGAATAAAGAGGATATTGAATACATAAATATGCAGCTAGAATCTTTTATTAACCATGGTACAAAACGCATGCATTCCCGGATAAGATGGATGCTGAACCACAGAAATATCTAGCAGAGTTAAAACATATGGATACACATACCATGAAAACACAATCTGTTACCTATTTTCTGAGCTTCTTGAATCACAAACCTTTTCAGGATCATAATCTGGTGCTGTTTTCTGTACAGCCACATTGGTGAGGTGCATATCTGAAGAGAGGCGCTAAGAAGAATTTGGGAACTTTTATGACGTAGTAACACTTTCCATGGGGACGTGGATTAAAGCGACACAATTAGGAACAACTGCCTTAGAAATTGGGTCAAACCCAGGCTATTTAAAGCTGACTTTGCTTAAATATTTCATCAGACAAAGGCTCAAAACTAGTTAAGGGTTGACTAATAATATCACATAAGTGTTTATACATTTAAATGAAATGCAAATTGAACGGTAGCATGACGCTCCTTCTTATGTTCATTTTATGACTGTCATGGTGCTTCTCCTCCCTTATACGTACATATTAGAAATAAATAATTGATCATAAAAAAACAACATTCACATGAAGGATTCAAAAATGTTATTAAAAAAGGATACACTTGTCATCAATACTGCTGAGGGAGAAGCGGGTGCTTGAAAAGCGGCCAAAGCCATCTCGATACAGCCAGGCTTTCAAGGGAACATACTAAAACACATGCATACTGTTTCATGTATGTAGCAACATTTATATTTTGTATAAAACATTATGATTTACAAGGTTCAGTACTTACTGACGTGACCAGCACATAGACCCTTAGATCAAATTTTCGGCCTATGGGGACAAAAGCAAAAGAAGTAAACAGGGATATAAATCCAAATTCCCCTTTCCTTGTCCATTTTTTAGTCGTTGTTAATTAACATTCATTTATTTTTAGAATAAAAGTGCATTTCTCATTAAGTTTATTACCATTTATTAGGTAAGGGTTCTCTATATAGCGTTGTGCCACATAGCTTTCCACTTGAGCTGCATCCTTCTGTTCCTCTGAGCGGGTGCCATCCTGTGTTAACACAAAATTATCAATCTGAATTATGTGGATGTAGTAATTTAATTTACAGCAAATGCCTTTATGTAATAAATAAACAGTACCTTCTTCCAATCCATGATGTCTTTCAGTTTCCTGAACAGAAAGATTCCTTTCCCTTGCGATTTTGCCACCTAAATAACATTGCTAGTTAATTTTGATGGTGAATTGATGATAATAAAGATCATTTTTATTGCACTAGATTTAATCTATTGCCTAGCTTACCGGCTTCATGATCCACGTGCTACCAGGGCTTCTTTTGAATTCCTCTACAAACAGATGATATTCGCTTGGCAGTGCAAAAGTGCAGGGGAAGAATTCACATTTGGATGCCTCCATGCGGCCAACATCTCTTTCAAGATTTTTCCTATATCTTTTGAGATTTTTCACCATGAGGTTTTTGCGAGTCAGCTGTAACAAAAGCTCAGAAAACTCAGAAAAATACGTCATGGCATTTGATAATATGAATGATAAAGAATATTAATGTTCAAATCTACAAAGCTCAAAGTCTCAATATAGTCTCAAAGCATGCTAGACTGAAGCTGGCTCACCTCATAATGATTACGAAAGTGGTTTATCCTCACATGTTCCTCCATGTATGAATGATCAAAATTCTCCCTTAGCCAGCCCACATCACACCAGTTGAAGTCCCACTCACCTTCACTGTGACAAAAAACGTGATGCCATGTTCGAACCACAAATATGACTGAATAGGTAAAATGACAGTTAAAATAACACTACTTACTCTTTGACTTCAACCCAACCGGGTCTTTGGCGCAGGACATCCTGTATGGTGTTGAGTAGGCCACACTTGTAACGCACACAACTCCTTCCCTCCCTGAAGTGTAACATTGCCACTGTTACCAGTACTTTCGATGTTTGGTTAGTGTTATTCACCAGAGGAATGTAATTAGGTACATTTACTCATGTACTTTAAGTAAGTTTGATTTCGAAATACTTTTATTTTCCTTCAGTCTTTCCTTTCCGTGCCATTTACTTCTTCAACAAAATTTCCCCTATGTGGGACAATACAGATTTCTTTATACTGTACAACAAAATACACTGTGAACAACTGTTCATTGACAGCCAACTTAAGAACAACACTCACCGCTCCTCACTTTTGCCATAATCATTTGTCCCTTTGAATCCAGATGTCTGCAACAATGAAAAAAGCAAAAACATATTTAGCTTTCATCCAGGTTGTTTTGGGTAACTTGTAAAAAAACGATTTCACCATTTTAAGCTGCAAACTACACTTCAAAAAGCAACTCCTGGTTTGCTTATAACTTACTAACCTACTTACTTTCTAATTGTTTAATACAGGTATAGTCTTAAGTCCTATCACTACTTTAACGCTTAATTAATTTATGGATAAGCAGTAACTCTCTGTAATGCTAGTTGGAACTTAGCTAACAAGTCAATCACACAAATAGCTAACCTAAGGCATATAAGTTAACATCAGTCAAATAAAAGCCTACAACACAACAAAGCGTACACATAGTGCTTTCTACTTACCTTACACTTTGACATGGAGGCGCACGCTATGAAATATTAGAAGACTAGGTTTATATTACAAGAATATGCGTAATTAATGATAAGTAACATATAGTTAGCAATTAAGCTAGCTCGTCTCAATGCGTTGTTTGGCAATTGTTGTCATGGCAACCATCACCGAATGACAGAGGGTCCACGTCCTCATGTGCTTACAAGCCAACGGGTGACCTGCTAAATTCACAGCAAACACGCGTCACACAAAGGCTAACAAAGTACTCATATTTTAAAATAAATAAGTTTATCTTCCGTCAGAAATTATTACAATTCCCAGAAGTTTGCCGTTTTTTCAAGTTTTAGAGTGAAAGTATTGCGTTAACAGTAAGACCACTGGCAAACCTATTATCTTCCCTCAACTTTACAATAAATCCACCACTTAGTGGCGCCAAAACCACATCTAACTTTTTGTGTAGCATAATGTTGATTCATTATAATGTCTAAAAAATGTATTAGGTTATGATTTGAGCATTAGATTTGATATGCTTAATAAACACAATTATCACATCTACTTATTTAGGCTACTCATATATTATTCATGTCAACAGATATCAGCTATCAGCTTGATTGTTTGTTTGTTTGTTTGATATGTGAATTGATTGTTAAATGGGCCTTACTGTAGGTCAAAATCAGCTAAAACGTGTTGATTTTTTGGTTTTGTATCTATCATCACTTTGCAAATGCTAATTCCCACTGGCTTATGTGATATGTGACACATTTACCATTTGACCAAAATAAACAAATGGTAAACGTCAAATCAACACAAATGGTACAATTATCAAACTATTAAAGTTTTTAAATATTTAAAGCTAAATGTGATCCACAAATAAAAGAACACAATGAAACATTTTTGGTTTCATGTTGCAAACATTGAACTTTTGGCCCAGTTAATGCCCCCAGCAATTTACAGACAAGAGGATTATGGAACAAACATTCTGTAGGAGAGAGATGGATCATGCTAGACCTTTGATCTCTGAGGGTTATATAAGACCCTCAACCAGGGGCGGACTGGCCATCGGGACGTTCGGGACGAATCCCGATGGGCCGGTACTGAAGTGGGCCGGTCGGACGATGTGGGCCGCGGATAAGTCACTAACACCCCCCCCCCCCCGTCGACAATGTCCTCGCGGTATTTACTAGCGGGCCGGCAGTACCGAAGTGGGCCGGTCGGACGATGTGGGCCGCTCGGATAAGTCACTAGCACCCCCCCCCCCCGTCGACAATTTCCTCGCGGTAGTTACTTGCGGGCCGGCAGTACCGAAGTGGGCCGGTCGAGAGTCCCGGGCTAATTTGTAGTCCGCCCCTGCCCTCAACAACGTATTGAGGACCACACTGCCCTGCATACCAAACCCCACCTATTACCTAATGGTTGATAGATTGTATCGAATGTTTGTGTTTCTTTACTTTAATCAAAGAAATTAAATGGTAAATTATCGCAATGATCCTTTGGTTGTTGTTATGTGATCAAATCTTCGTGCGTTGGAGATAAAGGCCATATTTCTGAATGATAAAGCACAATTACGGCTCAATATACTGCAGGCCCATCCAGTTAAAAAAAACAACCGTACATTTATTGCTTTTAACCCCTTGATGTCAATTCTGTAAAAGGAGCTTGCACCTGAGTCAGATTCCTGTGCAAAGCCAAATAAATGGGTTATATTATCGTTTCCTATGTGCCCATTGCCTTTTTAACATTCTCAGCACTCCTCCACTAATCAAACAATCAACCATACTTTAGACTCTGACATAAATAATCAGGACAGTTTTGAGGTAAAGGGGCTTTAAATTGAATTTGTTTGGGTCAGTTAGAAAGAACATAGGTCAGGCTTCTCAGCAGTGTGTGATAGGATCACTGTACTACTGTAGCTGAGTCAAAACCTAGTCTCAAAACGTCCCTGTCATGAACATAAGCTATAAAATCAAGTAATTAAGTTGTGTCATTTCACAAATTACACCAGTTACAAAACATAACATATGGTTAGAAGAACTGACTTTCTATGCGCTGTCATTTAGGAATTTTAGTATTATTTTGAACTATAACAAAGATTAAGAACAGACAAGAAAATCTAGTGAATTATGGCAACGCTAATCATGTTTCATATCGAAAACAGCTGGCTGTAAGATGGCACAGTTTCTTTCAAACTTCATCAACATCTGCTTGGGCGGGCCTCAGACAAGAAAAGCATACTCTGGCATCTTTTCTTTGACGATGTTTTCTGCAGATGAGATGTACATGTGTTAATTCAGTCTCCAAAAAATTGTTAATAAATGTTTCCATCTCCTCCAGATTAGCTGTACATGTCTAATGATTGCTTGTTGGGAAAAACAAGAATGTGATTGTAGCAGTCATTCAAAATATCAAACTGTGGTAAGTTAGGGATTTATAACTGAGATTGATATTTGCCCAAATCCAATTATCTTCAGCTCACAAAAAATGCAATGTGACAAGCCCAGAACATTTTGAGCTTGAAGATGCAATGTAAGACGTGGCTAATTTGCTGATAGTATTCAATATTTTTTTAATTTGCAGATAAAAACATTGCACCAAACCACTTTTAAAGTCTATGTTTATCTACAGATCTCATTTAACAGAATACAGCATACAATTACAGCATTAGCCTTTATAATTTGCTTTTGCTTTCATTGCCAGTAGTTTCCATTTACATCACCATCAAAGCATTACAAATGTTTTCACTCCCTGCCCACCCAAAACTCTGTTTCTTAAGCCCTAATAATCGGTTAAACCATATCGGTGCCGATCAGGGGTCAACCTTTCAGCAAGCTTTTATTTTGAGGTAGATTTCTAGCATTTGTGTTTTTGCAATGGTTTATGGTTTGGCAGCCATTCCTGCAGAGCATTTATATCATACGTAGCTGTACGTTATGAATATCATTTTGGCTAACCATATACACTTTTGTCCTTATGCAACATGAAAAAACAACTCCATGATCACCAGTATCTCGGAATGGATATTGTTTTGAGGATCAACCCATGGGTTTGACTCTTTTAAACACGTAGCCCATATTTTGTATGGATCTGAAATTAAATTCCAACCCTATAATCCAATTTGGGTTGTCATTTTAAATCTAGATTTTTCTTTGGAAGGCCTTCATGCTGGCACAGTGGGGATCTTGCATACATCTCAATACCACCACTCACTGTTAGGCATCCCACAGGTCATACTTTTCCCAGTGGATGATAATCATCAGTCCTGCTAAACCAATTGCTCCTTAACAGCAACCACAGAGCAGGAAATCTGTGGCATCAGCTGTTACTCATAATGGAGGCATCTTGCTGACTTTAGAACAATAATCCTCACCTTAGAATGATGTTCTTATATGTGGAAGGTTGAGCTCAGCCATAGATAGTTTCACCAGAGTCTACCCTGTTGATGCTCCTCTTCACATACAGAAGAAACGCGTCTGGTATGTTACATATTCAGGTCCAGGAAGCAAAGGTTAGTAAGGGTTAAGCTTTGAATGGTGAAATAGTAGAAGAAACTGACAATCTGTCAGGAAATGATTGCCCTCATGGCTGGCTTCTTTAAGTGTGGGCAATGGTGACCTGTCATATATTGCCATAACTAATTAGATCTTTCCCACTTATACAGAGGGTAAAACATGTCCACCTGGTTTTAAGACTTTAGGACACAAATAAAGAGCAGGTAGTTTCTTTGTGTATCAGTGCCTTTGCATAACAAGTACATTTCACTTCCTTTTTTTACCGTTATCAGATTTGAAGAACCATGTTACATTACAATTCCTCTTGTTCATTTGAACAGGCTTACATATCTGCAGCCTCTGAGATGTTAATGCCACCTGTTTATTGTTTCTACGCTCGCTACCTCTGTTGCTTCCCAGCACTCCAGGGGTAATGACGCTGCAAATCCCAAGGCTTTGCACACCCCGAAACTTTTCTAATAAAACATGAGGAGGCCAACAAAAACAGGACAGAGTGGCAGCTGGAATCCTCCTGAAATGTATTACATTCCCTCATGTCTCACAAATAAGCTGAGAATCCACCGTGATTAGTTTACCACTGCTGCACTATAATCAATGCTACACAAGCACATGTTGGCAGGCAGAAAGTAGACATACTGTACAGTAGATACTGTATGCTAAAATGTGTACCATATGTCTGAATTATTGAGGTAAAACAGGGAGAATACCAAAGAAAATAAATATAATTCTGTGAAATTATTACAGGGATTTTGGAAGTTTCCTGCTGGGGAACACGGTGGGCATTGATAATAAACAAGAGTTAAACAATTTAATTAGTTGAATGCGTTACATAATTCAATGAGGCTCAAGTGAGGGAAACCTAATGAAATGAAGCTGGCTATAAGGTTTCATGCCTCATCCATTTTTATTGCCTTGATCCGTTATTATGCCAAACCAACGTACCACGGAGATTGTGCACCTATACTTTATATTTATACATCAACATCTATATTAGCATGAACAGCCTTCATGATCATTTGGGCTCTCAATGCAACATCAGATTCACCAGACCTCCTTAGCAGTAAAAAAACAAGATGATACCTTGAAAGCATGCATGCATCATGTGACCGCTAAACCACACACAGTCACATTTCTGATAGCATTCTGTCTCCACAACTCTGGTTAGGGGAAAGAAAACAAAATATGGTCTTCATTTATCTGGAATTCTCTTTTTCCCAGCTTGGGGAATGTGCCAGAGAATTGGGGTATGGCACAAAACCATGGCCTTGGGGGATTTGGGAAGAAACCAGAGGGCAATCATGAGTCAGACAGATTTAGGTTTTACTGGATGCCTCAGTAGCAAAGTACAAATCTAAGACACTTAGTGTAAACTAAGAGAGCGAGAAGGTAAACAGTTTGGGATACTTTGGATCATAATGTCAAAGCATCAAAATAAAAGCCCCAATTTTCCCATGCAATTGTTTGTGCATTTGTGATTTCTGTTTGGATATTCTCGGGATATGTGTGATTATAATGCCAAGCAGGAAAGACTCAATCTTTTATTTCAAATATGTTTTAAATCAATTTGCATCCTACATGCATTTGTTCATTTTATAATTATTTCAACATGTGAAGGAGAACTACAATACAGTAGTACAGTCAGACTGGATTATTGCAGATGTACTCTCCTCTGTTCCAGTTCCAGGCTGTCTACTGTTTGATAGTAATAATCGCCCAAGGAGGCAACACTAAGTGAAAGGAAATTGGAGTTGGAGGCTCAGTAAGGTAAGTTTGCTTTCATAACAGTTAACCGACAGCTCGGTACACCCTCATAAAATCTGTGTTTTTTTCAGTTCTGCTATGTGGACACAATATCTCCTGCAAAAACCCAAAGACATTCTCAATCAGCTTCCCTTTTACTTCAGCTATCTTACATGTGATCCACATTTACCCTCAAGCCCCACAATGGTTTGATCAATTAAATTGAGTTGAATTGCTCACAGGGGCTTCAGTGCCAGGAGCAAGGCTGGGCGTGGTCCTCACAGAAATGTGATCGGCATTTTATATTTAATTGTAAATCTGTCACAGACTGCTGTCAGCGTCTCACATACATCACCAGATACATCTTCTGGTGAAGCTGACCCCAGGTGTCACTTTCAGTCTGCTCTTCAGTAAGAGAAACACACTAAATTTGACTGAAGTTTGGTGATTGGCTCGATCAGTCAACAGCATTCCACTGTTTGGACCAATAAAACACAATAGAGGTTTGGCTGCACATTTAGCGTCATCGTCCTGCTATATTATCCTCTCTATGTCTGACAGATGAGGTGGTTTACCTTGGATTATGAGCTGTTCTTTTCCACCATACTGAAACAATTTGACAATCTGTCCACAACAGTTAGTTTCAATACTGTGCAGATGCAAAGTGTTAGCCTACCTCGTCTTTGTATTCTTCAGAGGGTTCTTGTTAACCTTCTGAAACTATGCTGGTGTCATTGGCACACTGAAACTAGAACATGGAGGGTGTTCTTGATCTATTGGACAGAAGGTCCAATTAGGCCACTCACTTCATTCAAGGTGTACTGGTTTTGACACTTGAGGTCATTTTTCATTTTAGACAATCACACTAAAAGTCAGCAGCAATTTACTATCAAAACAGCGCCCCCCTCATTGAGACCTACAACAAACCACAAGTGTTACATCGACTACATTTCCTTATTTGTGATCCATTTCAAGACAAATACACTTTTACAATATGACGCGTCCCTTAGTCATATTAACATTAAGCACAAATAGTCAATCTCAAAATGCAAATTCATGAACTGTAATTCTATGCAAATTGTTTGACCTTGACAAATACGGTATATTTATGTACACCTAACCACTTGACAAAGCCTATAGCTCTCCATGACAACAGACACAGTAATACTGCAGATGGACTGCAGAGGGAAAACAGTACCTCTGTGTGGCGCAGCCAGATGGCCTTGGGGTTAGTGTGTTCAGATCAGTGGGGTTATACTCTCACAAAAAGTTAGCTAACTCTCCTGCTCATAGTAATAATACATCATACCATAGGCCTGGAAACTGTACATGAATTACATGCATATTTCAACTTACTCTCCACTGTAAGAAATGTTAAGGAAAAATACATTTACTATTACCTTGTGATTAATATTTTAATTTTGGAGAACCCAGATTGATAATTTTGTGAGGTGTTAGTGGTTCTGATTTATAGGTAAATTACAACATAAAAGGGAAAGCCTTCATTACAGTTGGATTACAATATAATTAATGTCCCATTTGGATGAACAATCTCTTTTATCGTCTTTAAATACGACAATGATTATATTTTACATGTTGTGCAGGAACTTCAGTGGAGTAGTTCATCTCAGTGCACACACACGGTTATGTTGCTGCGTTTGACAGAGAGGGTGTTGGGCCTATGGCAAGCGTGGGCGTGTACCCAAAACTCCCCAAAGCCCTTTACCTTTGATTTGGGGCTTTTAGAATGCGAAGTGACTGAGAGGAGAACCGGTGCTCTCTTTGCTCCACAGATCCCCACTTCAAAGCACCCTTTTGCTGTGTGACTGCAGAGCAATTTGTTTGGAATTAACGCAGTTTCCTCTCTCTTCAAAGTGTATGCTACAGGTATGATTTACGACGCGAATCTATAAATATGAGAGGAACCGCGCGACCAGCATCCTCGCATTTTTTTTTTACATCTGGACCGTATAAGATGAGCTGAACATGGACATGTACACTGAAGTTAATGGATTTTCACTCGGTGCTGCTAGGAGAATCATTTGACAAGTGCGCTGCATCCTCACCGGGCTATGATTCAATTTGGGAATATCTGACATGGCAAGGACAACATCCATCCTCACAGAAATCATGCTTTTCAACATGCTGGTATTAATTCTCCTCCAAGGTATACCTTTGAAGTCGTTAAGCTCAAAACACTTTTATTCATTCATTCCTAAAAATGTTTCTTAATTATTACCTCTATGTAGCTTATTTCTAACTTTGTTCTCGTTTCTTGCTCTATACAAGCTGTGTTGTCATCCCACGCCTCCCTCACATCCGAGGTCATCCCCGGGTCTCTGCCAGCCTCCAGCAGTGCGTTTGGCTCCGGGAGGTCTTCAGGTTCACCGCTGTCTGAAGCAGCGGAGGCAAAGTCGAGACCTAAGCGCTGTACCTGCTATTCTTACAAGGATAAAGAGTGCGTCTACTACTGCCACTTGGATATAATCTGGATCAACACTCCCCAGTAAGACATGCTTTGTGAAGTGCTGAAAAATACCTATAATTCTGCATGATCCACCCAGACGCGCTATTGTGCAAGTATCTCGGGCTTGCACAATACATTTGGGGGGAGGGGGGGGTTAAGAGTTGTAATTAGTTATATAAAACTGATTGACATGTGGCGGTTTTGTGAAACCTGCTTGTAGCAAGTCACGCCCGGTAAACGCTTTAAGACGCAGTCATGGTTCAAGTGATGGCAAGCCCAGCAGAAACAAATTGGCCCAAGGTCAAAGTTTAAAGTCAGTGAGGTGGAGGTTATTATTGTTACTATTCTTGTCTCCAGTTACTCCTTTTCACCTTTTGCTCCTTTCAGTAGCCCAACAGGTGAGCAATAACCCATGGCTAATTTAATGATGGATTGTTCGTGTGAACGCTGCTGTGTTTCAGGCTCAATTAAAACGAATGTATTCTACTAATGACAATAATAAGAATTAAGATATGAAGTAGACTAAAATATCAACGTGTTCCGTCCCTAGCAAAACTAGGCAAGGCAAAATAAAACAAAAATCCATGATACAGGAGATCCGGAATCCATGCATTCAGAAATAACAGCCGATTCCTCTATGAGTTTAAGTGATCTCAAGTTTGAGGCAAACATTATGAAAAATCACTGGTGAAGTTGTATTCATCTGATGACAAATTCATCAGGATATCTGTGCAGAGGTGGTAACAGATGTAGCTACTGTTTAACTCCCCTGCCATGAGCTGAGCAGTTGAAATACTGTCAATCTGCCGTGTGGAGGTTGTGAGGCTGAGTGGACAGAGATCAGAGAAATCTGTTGTGCAAACTGAATAGAGCTGTTGAGGTAATCACTCACTAGAGCTGTATTTGTTTAGTAGTAGTTTTCTACCACGGTAGTTGTTTGTGCCTTGAGTAAGCTTTTAATGATTTCATTTGGTTTTTCACTATAAGTAATGTTTTTATTTTTGGACGGACACAATCATTTACATTTTTTTACTATGTTCAATCTGAATTTACTTTAAAATAAAAAAAATCTATATTGATTCTGACTCTTCTACATCCAACTCACAGGTTTATCATTGCTTTGAGAAAAAAGATTATTAATTTTCCCCTTTTAGAAGTGTAGTTATGGTCATTTGTTCTGGGAATGTCATTTTCGAGCCTGAGACCTGGAAAACAGGCTCGGGGCTTAACAGGTTAAAGAAGAAAACTCATTTAAATTGTAGATCAATTCACTTTTTATTAGAGAGAGGCATATTTGCCCTGTGGCACAGACACCGTATTCTTTTGTGTATACAGTATGGACAAACACTGAGGAAGGAACACAATTCGGTGGATTGAACCTGGGAGAACCAACACAATTGGAAATATAGATGTTCAGGTTGAATCCTGGTAGAGCAGGAAGCCAGAGAAGGTGCTGTGTCACCAAGAGCCTGTCCAGGCCAGAGGCATGCCAACTGCCCACCGTGAGTTATGTTGACTCTGCGGGTGAAGCGGAACCATGAAATATTACATTACCAGTTGGCATAATAACAGCCAGAAGACTTTCTTACCACACATGTGCTTACAAGGTGTTTTCAACATGTGGCCTGTCCACCGCAGATTAGTAGCAAAACCTTACAATTTAATTTCCAACACCTTTTTCTTTAGAGGACTTTGTTTTGCCACCTTCTTACCACATATTACAATCTCTGGCAAGACAGTAGGAAAGAATTCTTTCATTCTCTTTCGTCGTGTGCCAACTTTGCTGTCGGCAACACATTAAAATCGCTTCTTAGCAAGTTAAAACAAATTGAAATAGTTTTAAGACTGATATTATTGTATAAAGCGGCAGGTTTGTTTTCACATGTGTGCTCACATTGTGGGGTACTCTGCCTCCGTGATAGAAGATTAACCTCCTAAAAAACGTTCCTTTGAGCTAATGTTTCATAAAGTCACTGCATTAAAAGTAGAAAAAGGAAGGGTATTACCTACCTCCCGTAAAGCTCTAATTCTCCAGATGAGCTATTTATTATTGGCTCACAAGCATAGCTTGCAAGCGTCAGTGTGTGTGTGTACTGTATGGCTCCTTCTTGTCTTGTGACCTCTTCTCCACAATGCAATTATAATTAACATGCTTTTACTCTGCTTTCCATATTGTTTTAAAGGCAGGTTTCCATTAAGAAGTCCTTCTTCCACTTCAGATAATAACCAAAGCTGATATCAGCATTTCCAGACACTATTGTGACACGTTGAGACACAATATTGAAACACCAGTGCCATTTAGCTGTGAAGCCTTTTACCCTGAGGTCAGTCAGGTATTAAATAGGTCATACATAGACAGGCTGCGTGATTGGGCTCACACAGTGGTAGCAGCAGGTATTCAATCATATAGAGGCCGCAGTCTGAAAATCTGGCAAATTTACAAGAAAAATCCATTTATCTACTTAATGTCAATCTAGTTTTTATCTCAAATGTCTTATGGAAAGAGACTTGATAGATCAGTGTGTTCTTTTGCCCTGCTATTCTGATGCTTTGATTGGTTTATTGTATAACACATTCTTCTTCCTCTTTATCCCTTAAGACCTTATAGATCGTAAAGCATATTTTTTGTTGCTCAATCTATTACAGATTGTTAAAAAATAGATGAGTGGAAAAAAGAACGAAATTATGCCAACTTGACACCAATCATTCACAGTGGCATCCTAGATTTGGGGGGCAGGGACAGACATTTTGACATTTGATTTGATCTATAGGAGATATCTTTCAAGTTTTTCAAGCACTTTCACCGACTCTCTGGCCATCTTTTACATCACCACTACCCAATGGTCACTTAACTAAAAACACATGTTCACAGGCAAAGTGTTTCATCAATAGTCTATCAGTTCTAGAGGTTTTAAATGCTGGGCCCTCAGTATGTACAACATAGGATATGTTGTACATACCCAGCCCAGCCCATACTGCCTGTATCATCTGCATGCTTTTAATTGAAATGTTAACTTCCCCGGCAGTCAGAACTCTCACTAGTTGGAAAAAAAAGAGTATGCATGCCTGTTTGATGGCTACTAAAGTTGGGTCCACATTTGAGAAGTCTCTCATTTATTACAGCTTCACAGAATGGCCAAACAAAAAGTAGAGGCACGAGTTGCTGTGCAAAAACTGGAAGATGGAGATGGCTTGCTTAACTTAGCTAGTCTTCAGTGGCTTGTCGAGCTTGAAGCGACTTTAAACGCTGAACTCACCGAAGACCATAGATATAGCCTACAGCGATACACTGAAGCGTACCCCCACTCAGGATTACCATCAAAAATAAGAGAGGCAAAACAAAGTGGCAAGATCTTCAAACCTGCCCGGTGACTCACTAGTCAGGGTGCTCAAAACTGAAATTGCAAGCTGGTAAACTAATCAAATGCCCGACTAAACAAACAGCAACAACCACACATTAACTCAAAATGAACTAACACAATTCCAGCACTGACCCAAATAGAACACAGACTCTTCTGCTGCTGAACTGGAGCTTTTAACCTCTTACTTCTCCAGGTGCACCTTGTCTTAACCTTGTTGCAGCAACACAGCACACCTGTGTAGAGGAACTAGAGGGAAACAGAAACAGGGAATACATACAGCGGAAACAATAGCTACCAATATTCAACATCTGTTGTTTTTCGTGTTACTTAAATACCTCTGTCTTCTTTACCTCGTCAGACGCACTGTGCCCTATGGAATGTCGAGCTACAGAGGATCTCAGCGAGTCAGACGGGCTGTCACTGGACAAGCAACTGAGCGTGAGGGGGCAAAGACTCAGCGCTGCATTTGTGCTGTGCTTGATGCAGACCCTGAGTGCCAAGATTTCTGCCTTCCAAGGTTAGTATCTCATTAGGTATATCTTATCACATCAAGCTAATTATAAATGAAGACATAAGTGAATTAACAAAGAATAAGGGCTTCTGCTAATAAACAATGTGAAATGTTCTCTTCAAAGCCGCATGCAGACAGTGCCCGTCAAGAGTCTCCACAGAGTCCCTGGTGCCGGATGACAGCTTGAGGCCTCTCCATCGTCATTCTTCTTCTTGGAGGAATGGACCCTTCCCTTATCTTCGCACCCTTCACTCTCCATTTGCCACTCTTGCCTCCACAGGTTAACACTTAAGGAAAACACTTTGGAGTTTAACAATGCAGACATTCCTAAGCGTCACAACTCTTGGAGCAAGTTCCATCAGGTTAAAGTGGTTTCAAGTTCTCTTCAGCATATTCAATACTGGTCCCTCGAGGCGATCCCCTCTTTGTTACCTACTGAGAGCAGAAGGAGAATTGCTTTCACACTGATATAATAGCCAATGACCTTGCTTCTGTCAAGCTTGATAAGACAAAACCTTTGTTTCCATACCTGTTAGTGTTGAGGACTACACTTGACTCTTTCTCTTTCAACAGAATGAGATAAGCTTGTATCAACCTATAAGGGGACAACAAAGACATCTCTACAACAATGTTGGAAGACAATAGTGCCACAAGGAACGTCGTTGCACAAGTAGGGGCAATACATGATGTTGTGATTTCTTGTCCTTTGAAATATTGAAACACAGCAACGGAAATAAGAGGAACGCTTTTGGCCAGCCCCAGCTACGGGGCATATTACTGAGCTTGATTTATGGAACTATCTGCAGTCAGTCTGGAAAGCATTCACACCCTGACAGTTTGCATACTTTGCTCTCAACACTACTTTCAACAATAATATATCATTTGTCCTCTTTACAACTGAACTGTCAGACATATTCACTGTGCTTTACCTTATTTCCACTGGTGTACTGTGTAGGAACTGTTTTAGTTTAAGCTGTAGTGTCCTTTAAAGTATATTCAACCGTTCATTATTGAATCCAGCCCAAAGGAGTCCAAAAACCTTTTGTTCCAATGTAACGAATCACAAGACAGGGAGACATATCCTTTAGCTGTTGCATGAAGTGGTGGATTACTTGTATGTTAAAGAGTAAGAGACATTACTCTGTTCTTCTCAAACTGTCTACAGACTAAACCAGCAATGAATTGGTTGTAATAATAAGGATTGCCTGTGTAATCAAGACCTGATATATCTGAATTGTCTGTGCATATTAAGCTATAAAATGCAATAATTATTTGCACTTTTTGACCCGTTCCGACATCACAATGAACAGTATATTAAGTATATTAAGAAAAAGGTTCTGAAATTATTAAAAGTACAATTATTCAAGGCAAAAAAATGCCCCCATCCTCGACTGTTATACTGGAATATATCTTATTATTAGATAACTATTATTCATGCATTTATGTAAAAGCAGTATTTTTACTGTTTTAGTTGGTTGAGGTAGATCACATTCGTTGTAACTATTTATAGGACTGCAACTAATGATTATTTACATTATGGATTAATCTGCAGATTATTTTTATGAATAATCGACTTGTTTCAGATGTACTTGTATATACTGTTGGGTAGATTAATTTATAACAGAACCTCTTTTATAAGCTCTTCCTATGTTTTTTATGCAAAATGGGGATTATAATAATATATACTACTGTATAATTCAAAGGTAATTCTTTGGCTAAAAAATAAATGGCAACAAATGTCAATGTATACAATAGTGAAACATGAGCAAAATGACTGCCAACACTTAATTCCATTTCAATTCCACAGCCCTTCCCAGCCTGTGCACATAACATTACAGAGTGGTTGCAATAAGCGAATATAACAATTATAAAATGAACTTTATAGCACAATTAAACATCACCAAACATTACCAGCAGATAGCATGATCATATATAAACAATATACAGTAGCTGCAGTCCACAAACGCACATATTAAAGCAAAGACAACACTGCACACTTTTCCAAACCATCAAACAACCAAAGAAGAATGAGGCATTTCAGGGATAATTTTAAACAAAGAGCAGAAAGTCTTTACATACCTCACTAAAGGTAAAAGTTCCTCATTGAACGCACAGGTCACGGCTGGAGGATCCACCATTTTAGTATTTAGAATGTTAGCCAGGCTGTGGTGCGTTTGATTTTGGTCACAGGTGGTGCATTTAATAATGAATTGAAGTGGTTATGAAGATTTTTATATAAATAAATATCTGTGGTAAATAATCTATCAACGAATGAGATAATACAATGATGAAATTATTACATTTTTTTATATATTTGCAATGATATAAACTGTAGCAACATTCCTGGATAAAATGCTGTATAAAGTAACTGCTAATGCAAAGCGAAACATTTCCTACTGCTGCAGCTTCACATTAAAATATTTTTACTGGCTAAACACGAGTTGACTTTTATTATACGGTATTCACAGGAATTTGCAATGTGTTTGTCAATGAGCTTGACCATGATAATGTTTGTCTCAATGCGTATACGAAACGAAAAGAAAGGTTAATTGTGGCACTTTTTGACAGTGGTTTATATTACAACTCTCTTACCCTGTCTAGATAGTCAAATAGTTCCTTTGAATAATGTTGAGCTAACAATATTTACTTATTTATTCTAATAAAATGTTTGCACCTTGTATAATTCTTTGTAAAAAGCAGCAATAGTTACTAGTAAAAAACACGACAGTTAAAGTCGGTCAGCGTTTTGTCACACAGCACCAAGTTATGAACCTAATTATGTAGTGTATTCTTGTAAACGAAAAGCCACAATGAAAACATGTTATTCCTGTAGGTTCAGCCCCCACATTGTTATAGTACACTTACAGCGTTCCCATGGAAGGGGGTTTAAGTGGGGGACAAGTTTTGGCACAATTTGGGATAACTGTTTTCCTGTATTTATATGTGCCCAATTTCTTATGAGGAATGCGTCAACACTTGTTTAGTAAAAGCATTCACTGTTACAATATATGGTTGAATAGAAGAATATATGTTTGATATTGTTGTTTATTTAGACACTCAGTAATGAGACTCCAACTTAGGTAAATCAGCCATTCTGACCAGACCAGGTAAAAGCAGTGACTTTCCAAAAACTAGTGGGACACAAGATATCTATGTATAGTTTATACAAATTGAAGAGGATTCCCATTACATAAAAAAAGACATCAGAAATCAATCCAAAAATACTAAAAGATACACAGAGAGAATTATGAAGGAAGCAGGAGGCTTCAGTCTTTAAAGTTATGCCATGCAGTAAAGCTCTTAAGCACGTGTACAATGAATGATGATATTCAAGATGTGGACCCACCCCCCATAGTACTTGGGAGTTTCAGATGAAAGACTTATGACCCTCATTCCTACAGAGGGTCCATTGAATCTGTTGGATAGTTTCTAAGAATGTGTTTCTGAAGGCAGATCCGGAGTAGAAAGCCATACCTTGTCTCAAGGGGAGAAGTTGTGAATGAATACTGGTCAGAGGCTCTCAACAGGGCAGAACGGTTCCACAAGACCTGGCACTGCTGGATGTGGGCTTGGACAGATGGAACGGGGATGTCCTGTTCCTGGGATTGGAAGAGAGGAGGTTGATAAACATAAAAGCACTGAAAAGATAAACGAGTAGCAGATGTGGGTGAAGTGTTACGGGCAAATTCCACGTATGGAGTTGCCAGGCCCAGGTGGATGGGTTGATCAACACCAAGACAGTTGAGGTAGTTCAGAGCCCAGAGAAGAGGCGGATGTTGGCTCCTCAAGGACCTTTTGGAGGACTTGATGAATACGCACAAAACTCTTAAAGAGGTCTATGAAAAGGATCAGAATATCATATATGTAAAAAAAAAACGATTTAACATATCGTTAAGGGTGTAGTTTACGTGCTTCACGGGCGTTGCTGAGATCAAACAGCAACACAAGGTATTAGGAGGGTCCCAGGGGTATATTTGTGTCCATCAGGGATTATCTCCAAGGGATTAGCATTGCAGATGTCCCTCCTGGGGAATTCCATGCTACCTGGAGAGAGGCAAAAGCAGAGTTCATAAGAGGCCGAGGATGTATTTTTTTCAACCTTAATGTTGTTAAGCTCTCAGGAGTTGATACACTTGCTACGTTTTTTTTCCTTCTTGTTCAAGAAGAAGAAGAAGAAGCTGTTTCCAAAGGGCGTGGTAGACGGACGGATTATCCCTGCGGCTCTTAAATATAATTATCTTTAATTTCCTGCTCTGGTTTGGAGCACAGTTGGATGCAGAGCCCAAACACAGAATCTGGATAAGCAACTACTAGTAAACAATACTTGTATTAACAGAAGAGGTGTGATGTGGCTTGTTGGTGTGTGTTGTTGTTGAGGGAAAGGGAATCCTGCGCTGAGAAGATAGAAATGAAAGTTGGCTGGCGGGCTTGGCAAACAGGTACGTCTGGCAGGTTTTTCTGAAGCAAAGAGAGCAGGTGTAAGTAATTAGGGAAACAGACAATCTGAACGAATACTCAACTGACAAACTAGTTTATGAACTGACTGAAAGTATGGCACAACGATCCGGAGGGGAATGGCTGTTAGTGCAAAGTGTTTGATTCTTAATGGCAGACCTGTGTTCTGATTGCAGATTAATGCATAAAATGCAACAAAAAAAAACACTACCACTGACTACTGTTTGTTGTACTTCTCACTAAAAACCTTTACTGGGGATTGTCAACAAGTTGTCTTGGAACAAATGGCACTGAGGCTCCCATCAAAAATAGTTAAAGCAACTAATCACTAATGGGGTTACTTTTCTGTTTTCAATTAATATAAAATAAATCTTACTTATAAACGCCAGCTGTCACTTTTGTACAATGCTCATAGATTAAGATAACATTAAGAGAGAGTGTAAAAAACATTTGCCTACAATTTACAGCCATCTGGTGTCAGACTTCATGTAGCAAAAATAAAGACTATACGACCCAGTGGAGTAAATACTTTCAAGGGAAATATTTAAGTTTCTTCAGTCTTGGGAGGCTGCAGGTGGGGTGGTGCACAGCTGAGAAACCTGGGGTTTCATTGTCTTGTGTTGCTTCCAAGGTCAACTGCAGTATTCCACGTCATGTGTTTTGTATATGATTTACTCCAGACCTCCTGCTGACCTATGAACTTCCACCACATACAGTCGTAAAACAGTTCTCAGTTCTCTGTGCTCCCTGTGGTTTTATCCCACATTTGATCTCAAAGTAGGCCTGTCCATTGAACAGTATCTGATACATTTTTTACTTTGAATGGTAAGAAAATATTGAGCACCTGCACATTCTTCTAGCCTGCAGAGGTTTATATTTTTTTTATTTAACCTTTCTACACACGAGGATTACAAAAAGTGCACAACTGCACAAAGTATACATCAAGTACTTTTTAGAAACTTTACTTTATTTATAGATTGCTCCCATGGTGTTGATGTTGGCCTTATCACAAGGTCATTCGTTAAATATGTTGTAATCATATTATTACCTCAAAAGCATAATTTTACGGTTATCTGGAGAAAACTAAACATAGGTTTCTTGTGAAAACGGGTAAAACTAAAAAAAACAATGAGGGGACAATTATCCAGTTGTTTCAAGAAAGACACTTTGTTTTCTTTAGATCACAAGATTATTTACCACAAGGATTTTTTCTGTATTTGAAAGGTAACTAACCCTTTGTCTATGTTGTTCTTTATAAATGATATATTAATGATTTTGTTGTAAATTAGACTATATATTTAAGATTCACATAAATGCGTGTCTTGCATATGAACACCTTTCTCCTCATAAGACAGAATGTGAGACAAACTGGACTATTTGAGGCCCTAATTCCACCTATCATCCTGGAATGTCGCGCTGCCCTAAATAAGCCTACCCTGGAGCCTCCGTATGAACCTTCTGCAGTGAAATATCGCGCAGAGAGAAGGGCCTCATTCCCACAGTTTACCCTGGGAAATATTTCTGTGCAGACATTCTGACCAAGCGACGGCAGGTTCAGGGCCCCTCCCATGGCTTAACGTTTGTTGTTTGTATTCTGAATCATTAAATAACTAGACCTTTTGTGCCATGCACTGAACTCTGGATGCTAACTGACAATTGAACCCGCAGAGGACAGAAACCACTCTTCCAGACACAAGCATTTCCAAATACAATATCATGTTGATAAGGAAACATACATAAAACAATGCTTTTAAAGTAAATGGCCTATATCTTTTAAAGTGAAATTAGGTGAGAATCCAAAGGTTATCAGTCTAGCTTTGTGTACTTCTCATTGACTAAGACAAATTAGCATTATAGTAAGAAAAGAATGAATTGGGTACTATTGGCAAACTATACAGTCACTATCTGAACAAAAACCAAAGTGGTGAGTTTTCAGGGATTAATAGATATGTCAAATAAATATAATAACACAGTAGACCAAACAAAAAACGTGCGTGTTAAGAGGATCAACTAATTGTATAGAGGCACGCTAATTTCTTAATATTGAATGCTTTCCTTTGTTCCTGCCACTCCTCTTATCCTGACAAAACACATAACACCAGCCGTCCAAGGTTTGGAGGATATATGAATACCCCAGATGTGACCTCCATATACCTGAGCAGTTAAAGGTAAAAGGTTAACCAAGGGTCCTCTGTGTGAATCCTCATCTGTTGAACACACACACACACACACACACACACACACACACACACACACACACACACACACACACACACACACACACACACACACACACACACACACA